TATGTAAAGGGTTCGATCGTGTCGCGGTCAACGTTGTCATTGCTTTAGAGGAAACGAAGAACGAATTTCCCAGCGTCCACTGTTCGTTAATAGTAGCGTAGAAAAAATGGAAAATTGTTCTACGAACTCGTCGCGTAGACGGTTTTAAGAATTCACGAATTTCGATCGGAATTTCGATTTCACGTACGAGTCTATCTACGATAAATTCTTCGTCCGATTGGTTCGCCGCCGATCGCGAATAAAAATATAACTGAACACTTTTAGCGCGAAACGAACATCGTCGACCGGCGTTAAAGAATTTTTCATTTATTTCCCTGTAAATGCGCGTGGACGTCATTTTTTACTTTAATCTCGCAGCGAGTTATCTGAACTTTCTCGGTCTACGATTATCGAAGGAAAGAACTTTCACGAAGCTTTGTCGGACATCTTACATGGCGCGTTCTCGCATTGACTACTCATCGGAAAGGGTGCACTAAACGTTACTAAAAATAGCTTATATAAAACATCTGCCTGAGAGCGATAGATCTTTTTCTACTTTAATATAACCGGCATTTACAGCTTTTTTCCCATCGCTTATTATTAAAAATACTATATCGACGTGGACCTTACGACACCTCGTTCAACGACCTCATTGAATATAATTTCACCACGAAATTAGTCTCGTTTGTACTGCTCTAAATGTACTATGCTTTCGCTTTTTTCTATTTATTTTTCTCTTTTTTTTTTTTTGGAGGGGGAGGGGGGAAGACTTTTTTCTCAACGATCGACGATTTTACGTTTTTACGCTTCCCTCAGTTTAGGTACTCGTGACAGTTCATTTAGGAAAAATAATTCACGCTCCTTGCATTGGTTCGAAGACTTTTTCGTCGCTAACATCGGCGTTGAAGTAACAAAGAAATCGGTGGAATTCGTCCAAAATACGTTAGCCGATCGTTGCAGTATTTCCTTGCTGATCGTATGAAAGTAAAACAATTTCATTTCAGTTTCATTCGAAACGATAGAAACAACAAAAGTCTCGAAACCATTCTTGGCAAAGTTCTTTTCCTTCCAACTGTGTTCCTCGAGCAGCAAATGTACATTGGCGCAGGGCAATAATGGAATTTGTACTCTGCAACGTCCGATATTTGTTATTTCATCGTAACTGCGATATTGAGGCGGGGGGTGATAGCTGTCTCGAATATTCATAGGATGGAAAGAAAAAAGGTCGTACGTAACGTGAGACCTGCTTCGACGCGAGCGCTATTGCAAAACAGAATAAAAAAGTGCAATGCAACGGAATGCTCGTTACGCAATATAAATATATTCTTTTACTACAGCGGCGAGGAGATACTGTATTTACAAATTGGCACTTTCTTCGGTTTGGAATATTACATAGTTTGTTGGTAAATGCGATTGATTCCGATGCGTGGTCAACCGAGAGAATTTTTCGAGTTGCGAACACGACAAATGAGGAAACTTATGCTCATTTGCATTGTCTGTCATTAAGGTTTAGGCTAGTTTGAAACAGTATCGCTCGGTACTGCAAGGTGTTGCACGATTTAGGATCACCAGCAATCTACGTACATTCGAACAAAGTCGTTTTACACGCTAATTCTTCGTTTTTTAATTCGTCGATTGCCACCAAAAAAAGAAATATCAAAATTAATAAAAAAAAAAATGTTTGAAACTATATATTTAAGTTATTCTCGAGTTACTTACTCGCACACTTTTTAATGCAAGTGGCTCTCTATAAACTATGAATAATAATAGGCTACGCATCAACATTGTGCAAGTTAAAAACGTGCAAATCTATTATCGGGACATATCGTCGAGAACACTTTAAACAACCTTAATTTCCCCTATGACAGTGCAACACGCCAAACTATTTCAAACTGCGTTCGATCGTTTCGATGCAGAGATTCGATGGTTTACGCTACGTTAGGAAATCGTAATCGTGTCTTTTTGTCGAGTACTCCGGGTCGATCGATCGAACGATTATAAACACTTGCAGCAAACACGAGCAGAACTCAAAGTTTATATCCCAAAGAACAGGGACGGTTCGATTCTTGAAACGATTTTCTAGGATTCGTTTCTATACTTTGAAATTTTACAAGGCGTGAGATCGAAAGGTGATCGTTTACTATGAATTTTCAAGCGAGAATCACTCAAAAAATCAACAATGAATTACTAGGCTTTTGGCTGGACCCAAAGATTAAGTGGACTCTCAATCTCAACTGAATTATTTTAGTTAATTTTTATTTTTACCACATTAACTTTCTTTTAAAGGATTCAAAAAATAATGAACTAATAGAGGATTACATAAATTTTCGCATTTTTCCGTACACACATCAGCAGTGTATTGTACAAGTAAAATTAAGACTGAAATGTTACATAACAAAAAATCCATAAATGCTTTGTTACGCAGTTATAACAAAAATATGAACTGTGAAACTCGGTTGAGATTCAGGACATTAAAATGAGAAAAACAATTTACAATAAAATGGAATCAATCTTTTGCAAGTACTGAACATAAACTTGAACGATAGTTCAAAAAGTTATCATCGAAGAAAGAATGCTTCAGCAGTCAAAATAAATTATAGAAACTAAACTCTGATAAAGAAATGTTTAAGTTATCCACATAATTCTACGTAAAAAACTATTTTTTCGTGCCTTAACTAGTAGTTGCACTCTTTAAACAAAATTTTAGTAAATTTATTGGTTTAGTAAATAAAAGAATATTTTATATTTTTGTCATAACTTCTTAACAAATCATGTATGAATTTTTTGTGTATAACACTTTAGTCTTATTTTTACTTGTGGAACACACTGTTGAAGTGTGTACGGAAAAATGCGGAACACCCTGTATATTATCCAATATTTAAGCTGCAGTGGCACCAATAATCCACTTAAGGAAATTACACGGATGAAAATGGCGCGTATAATGCAGAAAAAAATATTTATTTACGACGAATGTACCAAGCTCCAACTTTTAACGTTTATTCGACGAGGGATATAAGAATTAAATTAATTAAACTTTAGTATTTCCTAGATATTTTAGAAAATAATTGCCCGTAAATGAGTATTTATACATTAAAAATATCATAATATATGGGAACTTGACACGTACGAGAAAGTTGCCCCGATATACAATGAGTTGCAATTATTCTCGATTGCAATTGTAAAGAAACAGGAAAGTAGGCAAAAGATATAGTCACAAAATGTCAGAATTTTGTTCAAATTATCAAGGTATCGAGCAAATTGTAAATAGTAAATATGAAAGTAAATATTTACTTTGCATTGAAAATGAAGATATTCAACCCTTCAAAATAAGATTGGATTTCAATTAGTTTGCACCAGTTTCGCTCCACGGTTCAAATTTAATCAAACTTAATTTAAGCCTAACCCTAACCCAAACCAGTTTGGATCGGTTTAAACCACTTTCGACGTGATTGATAAAATTAAAATTAATTGTAATATATCTCAATCAGTAAAATTGGAATTTTGTACAAATTAGCAAGACAATAATATTAGTTTAAGCTACAGTGATCCCAATGATACACTTAAGAGAATTACACAGTTAAAAATGGCGCGTATAATACAGAAATAAATATTTATTTTCGACGAGTGTACCAAGTTCGAATAACCCAAGGGGTACCTTACCAAAATGGCGCGTATAATACAGAAAGATATATTTATTTTCGACGAATGTACCAAGTTCGAATAACCCAAGGGGTACTTTATCAAAATGGCGCGTATAGTACAGAAATAAATATTTATTTTCGACGAATGTACCAAGTTCGAATAACCCAAGGGGTACCTTACCAAAATGGTGCGTATAATACAGAAAGAAATATTTATTTTCGACGAATGTACTAAGTTCGAATAACCCAAGGGGTATTTTATCAAAATGGCGCGTATAATAGAGAAATAAATATTTATTTTCGATGAATGTACCAAGTTCGAATAACCCAAGGGGTACTTTATCAAAATGGCGCGTATAATACAGAAATAAATATTTATTTTCAACGAATGTACCAAGTTCGAATAACCCAAGGGGTACTTTATCAAAATGGCGCGTATAATAGAGAAATAAATATTTATTTTCGACGAATGTATCAAGTTTGAATAGCCCAAGGGGTACTAGACATTTTTAATCGAATCGTTTCCTAGTTACTTTGTTTCAAAATCGAACGTTCCTGTTGAGGAACGATGCAAATGAGCATCGGGGTCGTTCCTTGGTCGCGTCTCGTTCTAAGCAAGGCATAAACCTCAGTTGCTATTATACACACGTAACTATGAGTATGTACAACGACTACGGATAGTTGACTTCCACGTCGTCTACTCCGCACGAACGTCTACTCTCTCTCTCTTCTCCCATTTTTTGTTAAGTTTACTTACGTTATGTTGAACACAATGATCGAATGTTTTCAATCACAATAGATTTACGCGAACGTAACGGCAAACATTCGCCTTAGTAACTCGATTCCCGGGTTGAATCGCGCTAGCCACGAGCCACCCTTAACACGTCGACTGCCCCGGCGATCTCGAACGAAACGATTTTCGTTCACGTTCTCAACGCTCGTTATTTCCTAATCGTAGATGGCGGCCGATGGACGAATTGTCGCTTGCAAGTTGACAATCGACGCGTTAATTTCCCTTCCAATCGCGATTTCAAGTTCGATTAGACGCCCAGAGGTTGCGATCCCGTCGTTCTTAAATCGACTAATATTGGAATCTAGAGCGTCCAGCGGAGTTCAACGTCGCTGGATCCCCGACGAGAATCGTCGACGCCTCCGGGAAGCCTTCTTCGAGGATCGAATAATCGTACGATAACGAAGATTGACTTGGCAATGTGCGTTTTACGTGACCGCGTGGGTACGAGCAATCGGCGGAGCCACGACCGGTTGTGTTCAGCGTCGCTTCGTCTACGTTTGAGGTAGAGTAATTCGGGAAAGAGAAAAAAGTTGTAGTGTCACCGATGGATTTATAGAATAGCAGAGAAAACCTTTGGTAGTGTAGAGTTCTTTTGCTCCATTCTTTCAGCTGTTCCGATCGCCTGGCCGTTCTGTCCGTTGCTCCGTTCGACATTACTTCGCCCCTGGTATTTTCCCTAACACCTGTAAATCACGATGATGTTATGTAAAATGTAGGAAGTAATTGGAAAATGGCATTTTGATCGGTTCTTGATGTCGCTACGATGTTTCGTTTGGCAGGAAACATTGCAGCCACATCAGAGAATCACTTTGCATATTGTTAATCCTTAAGTGGACTCTCAATCTTGATTGAATTATTTTACTTAATGTTGATTTAACCAAATTGGTAAATCAACTTTGTTTTAAAGTATTTAAAAAACAGTGAATTGTTGGAGGATTAGATAAATTTTCAAATAATTACGTTGATGTTAAGTTGTTCTGAGATATTTCTACAAGTTCTTCAAGCAGTTGTATTATAGATGTTTGACGCCGTTTGGCCAAGCTATTTCTTCCTTCGAATCTCAAATTCTATCTAATAGTTAAGTGCCAGTTTCCAGATATTTTTACCATGTACGATTGAATTGAATAATCCACTTAAGGGTTAAAGCTGAAGAAGAGTCGTGGCAAGTCTACGATCGCGAGCGGTGCAAAATCTCTACGTTTGTAACGTGTAATTTACAAGCTTTCTTTTTATACAGAAGTAACATTTTCGCTCTGGAGACGTGAAAGAAATGTATGATAGTATCCATAGACTTAGATTTGAATTAATTGTCAGGCAATGATCTTCAAGATCTTTATTCATATACGGGTGACAGGGCTTTTAGCTATCAAGACAAAGGAAATTAATTAATTATCGAATTTAGGTGTAAAGTGAGGATACAATAGTAGATACCAAGACAAATTTTAAACAGGTTTTGGTCAACGCGTTAATGTTAAAGTAGTTTGCAAATTTTCTGTATGAAGTTAAATTACTAATGCACAGTTAGAGCAAGATTATTGAATATTTTTGTACAGATTTTTAAAATACACGCTTTAAGAAAAGATATTCGATCTAATAGAGAAAGATATAAAATTAAAAATTAAAATTAATACAAAGATTAAAAATTAAAAATTAAAATAAAAAATTTTTATGGCAGATTCTAGAAGCCAAAATAAGACGAAACTCAAGAATACCAATTTGTTGATGGAGGCTTCGTTAAGAAGTTATTAACGTTCAAAGTTCCGCCAGTACTGAATTTTTTTCTCGAAAACGCGCAGGATTTTTGGAGTATGTCTATTCACCAAAAATGATTGTAATTGACCCCCGCAACCGAAAATAATTCTTTCAGAATGATTTAAAAATTTTTTTTCGCCTTAAAATTTCAGCAGTTGTCGATTTTTCATAAAAATTCGTTTTTCATTTTTAATCAAATTTGTTGACGCTGTACAAAAAAGTTGTTTAATACTTTTTTGTAGGTATCTATGAGCTCTACTTTAGAAAAAAGTTTCATTGAAATATATTCACTATCGTAGGAGTTATGACTGTTTGAAAATTGGACCATTTTTATGGGCTTTTTCTCATTTTGCGGGGTTAAGGATCAACTTTTTGAATATTTTTACGATTTCTACATATTCGCCACCAAAATACGCGCTGCTTGCCGTTTGAAACATTGAAATCCTCCAATCCGTTCAGAAGTTATGATGTTTTGAAGATTCGCGTGAGGGCAGACATTTCTCTGGCCATAAATTATAATTTCGGTGAGGAATTTTTTTCTCGAAACTGTGTTGGATTTCAGGGGTATATCTTTTGACAAAAAATACTTGTAATTGATCCCTGTAACTAAAAATAATTTTTCCAAGACGATTCGAAATTCTTTTTTTTCACCCAAAATTTTCAGCACATACACGAAATTTTGTCTCGAAACTGCGTAGGATTTCGGGGGTATGTCTTTTGACCAAAAATGCTTGTAATTGACCCCTGCAACTGAAAATATTTTTTCCAGAACGATTTGAAATTTTTTAATTTCACGGAAAAATTTCAGCACCTACTCGAATTGTTTTCTCGAAACTGAGTAGAATTTCGGGGGTATGTCTATTCACTAAAAATGCTTGTAATTGACCCCTGCAACTGAAAATATTTTTTCCAGAACGATTTGAAATTTTTTAATTTCAACACCTACTCGAATTATTTTCTCGAAACTGAGTAGGATTTCGGGGATATGTCTATTCATTAAAAATGCTTGTAATTGATCCCGTAAGCGAAAATAATTTTTCTAGAATGATTTAAAAATTTGTTAATTTAATTTTTAACGAAACCTCAGTCAAGAAATTGTTATCCTTGATTTTCGTCTTATTTTGGCTTCTAGAATTTCCCATTAAAATTTTTTCTAAGGGTGGCCGAACACCCTGTATAATACAAAAATTAGACGATTCCTAAAAGAAAAAAAGGACTGGTCATTTGACCTTGATAGGAATGAGTTTACACGAAGTGTTGGTAGATTTAGTATTAGATAATAATTCTCCAGTCCGAAAAGGGGTCCCTTCCCATACAAGTAATACTCGATCCACGATGGTGAATTAGCTATGTACAGTTTCTAGAGGACCCAAGGGCCTTTCGAACCTACTTTTGAAATATCTACACCGGTCAGTGCTTGTACAGCTGGAGGTACTTGCCCCACAAGGCGGGTAATGTCCCCGCTGATCGCGTCGCTTCCACCGAGAATTACGATCTCCTCCGTTCTGGCCAACGGTGCTGCAACCTCCGCTGCGATCTGAAAGAGGAACGTCGACGTTAGAGCGTTTGTACGGTTGTCGAACCGCGAAAATCGATGCCCACCTTTGGCAGTGCGTTCAAAGCGATCTGCAGAATGGCCGCCTCGCCGTATTTCTTGTACACAACGGCTTTCATCCGCATACGCTCCGCTTCCGATACACCTATCGCCTCCAGAGCCTGAGCCTCCGCTTCTCCGATCAATCGAATTTTCTCGGCCTCGGCCGCAGCCGCGTTCATCGTTTGCGTCCTAAAAACGACGCAAAACCCGGTAAAAGCTTACGCTAGAAATAGCGAAGCCGGACGATTGATTTCCTCTCGTCGGTCATTAATTCTGCCCGACATTTTCCTGACTGATTAACGGCCTTGGGATCGTTCCGTACATTACCATTCGATGATCTTTGGTGGTATTCTCATCGAATAGGGATGTAAGCCTCTCAAAAGTCTGACTAATCAACCACATTTTCAATTTTAGCGATATTTTGAGGGGAGTCTTCTACTGTAAGTCGCCAAAAAATTCGATTTTTTATCTTTTTGCGTTTAAAATTAACAAAGTTATACGTATTCCTCGAGCTATATGTGTTTGAATGCTCTGACCCTTCTATTCAAATGCGTTTTTCTAAAAACTATCTCTTCTGAATTGGCTCCCATGTTATCTCAACGAACAATAAAGTATTACTCATGTAGCACAATAACGTAAAAATCATTATTTTTTCTATTTTTTATTAGTCTGCTAAAGTTGAAAATAACCAAAAAGATCGATATTTCAACTTCAAAATACTGCCATTTTTTAAATTATAAATTTTATTCTGTCCATTTGTCTATAAACAAATGTATCCTAATTAAGAATCTTTTTCGTTTTTTTCACTTAGACAAACACAATGGCTGGAATCATGGAAGCCATTAGGGCTGGAATCTGTACTGCCACTAATTTTGACTATTTCTCGTTGCAAAAATTTGTAAATATTACCGAACGAGTAATAAATACATGTGCAAAACACTGATGCAAGAAGTTGCATAATTTCTTTATAAAAAAAAAAACGCGTTTTACTGAAGAAGACCGTAAGAAACGTCGTAGAAGCATAACGTCCATTTTGTGTAGCTTAGTTTCAGTGAACAATTTGGCACAACAGTTTGACTTAACGTTTTACCAATAATTTGGATGGCCTACGTTGCACGATTTTAAACCAAAAACTGACGTAATTTTAAACAGAAGGAAACGTCGACAGAATGAATGAGCTTTTTTCAGCTTTGTAATAGTGAATTACATTTTTCCTTCGGCCACTCTGCCAATTTTATAGTGTTCGGCCTCGGCTGGCAGCCGCACGGTGCTCTGGAGCTCGTGTTCCTTTCGACGGACTTCCTGTTCCTCCACTTCGATCTGTTTGCGCCTCTCCACGACTTCTATCTGAATCTCCTCGTTTCGTATCCGTTGCCTTATCTTGGCTGCTTGGAGTTCGTAGGCCAGCTGAGCCTCGGCTTTCTGTGGAAAGTTCGAAAGATCAACCGTAACCGTGGCGGATCGCAGCAGAGAAGTGGCTAAATGGAACGTAAAATTGTCTTTGAACGTCGACGTACCGCGGTGTTGACTTCCTGATCGAAGTGTGCTTTTTGTAGCTGGAAGAGTCTCGCGTTGTCTTTGATCTTTGTGTCGGTGTTGTACTTTATGTCCATCGCCGCTTTCTCGCATTCCGCTTCCTGTTCGAAGGGAGGAAGATGTTAATTGTGGCTGGGAGGCAATCGAGTCGAATAAAAATCAATTGTCCAAACGTTACTGCTATAGCTAGACTAGCTAGATTAGATTGTTATATTTAGGGGTTGAGACAGCCCTCTGCAAAGCTCACATTTCATTAATTCTATTAATAAAAATGTGAATTTCCATAAAGATCCGCGGTCTAGTTATAGCATTAAATTTTTGATTGCTTTTAAAGAATAATAAACGAAAAAGAACGATAGTTTTACGGAATAATTATTGAATGAAAAGAACGAACGAATGTATTAGTATTGTTATTTAATTTTTGTATCAATTGCCCTCGATCATCTTGAAACGAGACAATCTCAATTAAGACTCCTAACTACTTAGAAGACCGGCTCATTTGCGGAAGACTGATACATAGTTGCCAAGTTCCTTATTGTTGTCCTACTTTCCACAATAGTAATTCAACAGACTATTTCTACATTATACCGACTAACAGATGTTACATTTCACGTTTAAGGAGAGCCAATTCCGTCTGCCAGTTTCCCGCACAGCGGGCAGCCATATTTCTAATTCGCCACACAACGGGGAATAAATGGATCATACGGTTCATTACAAAAGAATTTTTTGTGTAACTATAAATATGATAATACTACGTGCAATTAATGCTTATGACTGGCGGAGTTGTTGACTAAGAATGAAAATAACATTGATTGCTGATCTGATGGGAAACTCTTAAATGGAAAAGAAAAGATACTAACTATTCAAAGCATGTTGGGTATAATAGTTTTCCATTTTTATTTCATGCAAACCTTTCTAATTAAGAGACAGAAAACGTATGCTTGGTATTACTATTCAAATATTTTATTTTATTGAAAGTAAAATAAGATTGCAGCATTGAGATTTGAATCTGAAATATAGGTGGATAGATCTTTTGTATTTTTTATGACTCTCAATAAGAGAAATTTTAAAGATAGAAATATATATTGTTGATACATATGTAGGTTGAAAAATAGTCAGAATTAAATTGAAAGCATTGTAATCACAAAAAAATAAAAAGAGATTGCAGTACTGAGATTTGAATCCGGAACATTAGAGGATAGATCATTGTATTTTTTATAAATAAAGATATGAGAAATTTTAAAGATTGAAATATATATTCTTGATGTAGGTTGAAAAATAGTCAGAATTAAATTGGAAGCATTGTAATCACAAAAAAATAAAAAGAGATTGCAGTACTGAGATTTGAATCTGGGTCATTGGTGGGTAGATCTTTGTTCTTCTTATAAATCACGACAAGGGAAATTTAAAAGATTCAAATATATGTATGCTGGTTGAAAAATAATCTGAAATAAATGCAATTTTGCATTGAAAGCATTGGAAACACCGAAAAGTAAAAGAAGATTGCAGCATTGAGATTTGAATCTGTGACGATCTTTCTATTTTTTATGAAATGCAATAAGAGAAATTTTAGAGATTGAAATATATATTCCTAATATATACTCACGTTGGAAAATAAACAAAATTAAATTGAAAGCATCGCAATTATCAAAAAGTAAAAAAAAATATTGCACCATTGAAATTTGCATCTAGGACATTGGTGGATAGGTTTTTGCATTTTTTATGGCCCACAGTATGAGTAATTTAAAAGATTTAAATATATGTGTATACATGCAGATTGATAAATAATCAGAAATAAATGCAATTTTGCATTGAAAGCATTGGAATCACCAAAAAGTAAAAAAAGATTGCAGCATTGAGATTTGAATCTGGGACGATCTTTCTATTTTTTATGAATTACAATAAGAAAAATTTTAGATTGGAATATACATTCCTGATATATACTCACGTTGGAAAATAATCACAATTAAATTGAAGACATTGTAAGTATCAAAAAGTAAAAACAAATTGCAGTATTGAGTTTTGCATCTAGAACATTGGTGGATAAATCTTTCTATTTTTTATGTATCACAGTATGAGAAATTTAAAAGATTGAAATATATATTCCTAATATATACTCACGTTGGAAAATAAACAAAATTAAATTGAAAGCATCGCAATTATCAAAAAGTAAAAAAAAATATTGCACCATTGAAATTTGCATCTAGGACATTGGTGGATAGGTTTTTGCATTTTTTATGGACCACAGTATGAGAAATTTAAAACATTGAAATATACGTATATACATGCTGATTGAAAAATAATCAGAAATAAATGCAATTTTGCATTGAAAGCATTGGAAACACCGAAAAGTAAAAGAAGATTGCAGCATTGAGATTTGAATCTGTGACGATCTTTCTATTTTTTATGAAATGCAATAAGAGAAATTTTAGAGATTGAAATATATATTCCTAATATATACTCACGTTGGAAAATAAACAAAATTAAATTGAAAGCATCGCAATTATCAAAAAGTAAAAAAAAATATTGCACCATTGAAATTTGCATCTAGGACATTGGTGGATAGGTTTTTGCATTTTTTATGGCCCACAGTATGAGTAATTTAAAAGATTTAAATATATGTGTATACATGCAGATTGATAAATAATCAGAAATAAATGCAATTTTGCATTGAAAGCATTGGAATCACCAAAAAGTAAAAAAAGATTGCAGCATTGAGATTTGAATCTGGGACGATCTTTCTATTTTTTATGAATTACAATAAGAAAAATTTTAGATTGGAATATACATTCCTGATATATACTCACGTTGGAAAATAATCACAATTAAATTGAAGACATTGTAAGTATCAAAAAGTAAAAACAAATTGCAGTATTGAGTTTTGCATCTAGAACATTGGTGGATAAATCTTTCTATTTTTTCTGTATCACAGTATGAGAAATTTAAAAGATTGAAATATATATTCCTAATATATACTCACGTTGGAAAATAAACAAAATTAAATTGAAAGCATCGCAATTATCAAAAAGTAAAAAAAAATATTGCACCATTGAAATTTGCATCTAGGACATTGGTGGATAGGTTTTTGCATTTTTTATGGACCACAGTATGAGAAATTTAAAACATTGAAATATACGTATATACATGCTGATTGAAAAATAATCAGAAATAAATGCAATTTTGCATTGAAAGCATTGGAAACACCGAAAAGTAAAAGAAGATTGCAGCATTGAGATTTGAATCTGTGACGATCTTTCTATTTTTTATGAAATGCAATAAGAGAAATTTTAGAGATTGAAATATATATTCCTAATATATACTCACATTGGAAAATAAACAAAATTAAATTGAAAGCATCGCAATTATCAAAAAGTAAAAAAAAATATTGCACCATTGAAATTTGCATCTAGGACATTGGTGGATAGGTTTTTGCATTTTTTATGGACCACAGTATGAGAAATTTAAAAGATTTAAATATATGTGTATACATGCAGATTGATAAATAATCAGAAATAAATGCAATTTTGCATTGAAAGCATTGGAATCACCAAAAAGTAAAAAAAGATTGCAGCATTGAGATTTGAATCTGTGACGATCTTTCTATTTTTTATGAAATACAATAAGAGAAATTTTAGAGATTGAAATATATATTCCTAATATATACTCACATTGGAAAATAATCACAATTAAATTGAAGACATTGTAAGTATCAAAAAGTAAAAACAAATTGCAGTATTGAGTTTTGCATCTAGAACATTGGTGGATAAATCTTTCTATTTTTTCTGTATCACAGTATGAGAAATTTAAAAGATTGAAATATATATTCCTAATATATACTCACGTTGGAAAATAAACAAAATTAAATTGAAAGCATCGCAATTATCAAAAAGTAAAAAAAAATATTGCACCATTGAAATTTGCATCTAGGACATTGGTGGATAGGTTTTTGCATTTTTTATGAACCACAGTATGAGAAATTTAAAAGATTGAAATTTGTATCCTTAATATATATGCACGTTGAAAAATGATTAGAATTAAATTGAAAGCACGGCAATTACCAATAATTTTCCAGGATCATGCGTTTAATATGAAAGGAAAAATAAATAAAAATTTCGTAACTGAAATTGTGTTGCGTTAACCTCGAGGTTGAGTTAATTAGAGCCATGCGGTGGATTGTCTGGTTACAGCAATAAACTAGAACGAAGGGGGTAGGGAGTTCTCGTGTCATTCGCTGGGTATTCGTGCGTGAACGTACCCGAATGCCAGCGTCGCGGTTCGCCTCGGCGACGCCGATGTCGGCGTCCCGTTTAACTGCGGCGGTCTGAGCCTTGCCAAGCGACGCCAAGTATTGAACTTCGTCGTAGATATCCTTTATCGTGAAAGACAGGATCTCGATGCCCATGCGACCGACGTCCGGGGCAGCGACCTCCCTTACGAGCGTGGCGAACTGATCTCGATCCTTGTAAATCTCCTCCACCGAGAGCGTGCCTTTAAATTTAGGAATCCTTCGTTAAACAGAGCGTTTTCGATACAGTAACGCACGATGAAATTTCAACTCGTTTTCTTAATCGCGAAATTAATTTGAAACTCCCACGACGGCATTTATTTTAACAAGTACAAACCAAAGAGGTATAATACACTTGAAAATTACAAAATACAACGATAGTGTAAATAAAACAGATATTTAATTGAATTTGTTTGTTCCTCTATTTGTTTAAATTACCCTACTTTTTAGTTAACGTAAATTTCAAATGAAACAGTTAAAAGCGTTGGAAGTTTCTGGTAACGAAATTGAAATATAATTCGGAGTGTAAAGGGTTAACGGTGACTTTCGACGAGAATAAAATTGTACATAATTCGTAACGAATATTTAATTTTTGTCGATCTAATAGTAAAATAGGGATAATAACAATTTAAAATATTAGATGTCTCTGCATCAAAAAGGTACTCTGGATTGTGTGGGTATGGCACACCATACTAATACCAAAGGTAAAGAAAAAGTTCGTAACCGAATTCACGAATTCGCGATAACAGAATTCAATATTTCGGTAAGGTAAGTGCGTCTAATTTCGAGACACTTTCAATTTTATTTCATTTAATACGCTTAATCAGCAGTTTGTTAAGTGGCATTATGTGAATAAAAACAGTTTGGATCACTTTTGACGTGATTAATAAAATTAGAATTAATTGTAACGTACCTGAATCGATCTACGCCGGTTTGAACTAGATTCGGACTAGTTTCAGTCAGTTTTACATTGTTTGATACAAATTGGGAAGAATTTGCACACACCTGATTCTAGTTTGAAACGAATAGAATCAGCTGGAATCAATTTTTCTCTGTTCGATACAATTTCAATGAGTTTGATTCGATTTAAACCGGTTTGAACTAGATTCGGATTAGTTTCAATCAGTTTTACATTGTTTGATACAAATTGGGAAGAATTTGCACACACCTGATTCTAGTTTGAAACGAATAGAATCAACTGGAACCAATTTTTCTCTGTTCGATACAATTTCAATGAGTTTGATTCGATTTAAACCGGTTTGAACTAGATTCGGATTAGTTTCAATCAGTTTTACATTGTTTGATACAAATTGGGAAGAATTTGCACACACCTGATTCTAGTTTGAAACGAATAGAATCAACTGGAACCAATTTTTCTCTGTTCGATACAATTTCAATGAGTTTGATTCGATTTAAACCGGTTTGAACTAGATTCGGATTAGTTTCAATTAGTTTTACATTGTTTGATACAAATTGGGAAGAATTTGCACACACCTGATTCTAGTTTGAAACGAATAGAATCAACTGGAACCAATTTTTCTCTGTTCGATACAATTTCAATGAGTTTGATTCGATTTAAACCGGTTTGAACTAGATTCGGATTAGTTTCAATCAGTTTTACATTGTTTGATACAAATTGGGAAGAATTTGCACACACCTGATTCTAGTTTGAAACGAATAGAATCAGCTGGAATCAATTTTTCTCTGTTCGATACAATTTCAATGAGTTTGATTCGATTTAAACCGGTTTGAACTAGATTCGGATTAGTTTCAATCAGTTTTACATTGTTTGATACAAATTGGGAAGAATTTGCACACACCTGATTCTAGTTTGAAACGAATAGAATCAACTGGAACCAATTTTTCTCTGTTCGATACAATTTCAATGAGTTTGATTCGATTTAAACCGGTTTGAACTAGATTCGGATTAGTTTCAATCAGTTTTACATTGTTTGATACAAATTGGGAAGAATTTGCACACACCTGATTCTAGTTTGAAACGAATAGAATCAGCTGGAATCAATTTTTCTCTGTTCGATACAATTTCAATGAGTTTGATTCGATTTAAACCGGTTTGAACTAGATTCGGATTAGTTTCAATCAGTTTTACATTGTTTGATACAAATTGGGAAGAATTTGCACACACCTGATTCTAGTTTGAAACGAATAGAATCAACTGGAACCAATTTTTCTCTGTTCGATACAATTTCAATGAGTTTGATTCGATTTAAACCGGTTTGAACTAGATTCGGATTAGTTTCAATCAGTTTTACATTGATTGATACAAATTGGGAAGAATTTGCACACACCTGATTCTAGTTTGAAACGAATAGAATCAACTGGAACCAATTTTTCTCTGTTCGATACAATTTCAATGAGTTTGATTCGATTTAAACCGGTTTGAAAGAGTTTTAATCTGTTTATTCCTGTCGCATGGAACTCGAAGCGGACAAAATAGAAACGGAGATAGGTAAAATGCAAGGAAATATTCTAAAGGAATATGTATATGTATCTCCAGACATTTAACGATAAAAAAATAAGCCATATAACGAAATATGTACACAAGAATGAATTGGGGGCCCGACTTTGATGCATTCTACGTATTTACGACAACGGTCTTGTCAGTAGCCAATCCATCACGAAACTTTCAAAAAAAGACTCGAATGTGTCGTAAGTAATGTGTAACACGCGATCATCGATGTTTATATTGGGATTAGAATTACTTGATTCGCTTTTATTTATACGCTTTCGCCATGAATATTAATCCCTCTTTGTAAATCACTACCAAAGATTCAGATAAAATAATTTTGTTTTCAAACCACCTCCACGTCGAGGTCTCTGATCTTTATTTCGACTGTACAGCCAATAAATTTGGAAAACACAACGAAGAAATACGACGTTAACAATATATCTCAAATACCATCTAGAAGGAACCCAAAATGAAACAGCTGCTGTTAACATTATTCCATCAACCGAACGTTATTCATTAAACCGTAGAAAAGATCATAGCCACGAAAATCCAAAGGTTGGTCTATAGTAGGTAAATTAAATAGACTTTGAGTACAAATTGGAAGGAGTAAGGATGCAGGTGATTAAATAATTAATTTTATTTTCGTGAAATTGACCTAATATTGCACGAAGATGACCCTCCAGGGTAGAGAGGATCGTCGATTTGATTTCGTGCACGCTCTTCCCGAGAAACTGTTCGCTGGCAGTGTGCAATAATTCGTCAGCCTTCATGATCTTGCATTGTGCGACCCCGGTGACGGTTAAGGGCACCCCCAAGGCTGTCTCCACGTTCTCACAGACGGGATTCAGCGTCATCACCTCCAAAGACAATCGTTGAACGTCGGTTACGAACCACCACGTGAAGGTGTAGCCTCCGACGATGGTCCTCTTCTTCATAGGTCCGCAGCATCCCCCTAAAAACAAATTTCGAAGACCAATATTAAACGCAGTTCGAAAATATTTATTTTTTTTAGATTTCTCGAACTAGATTTAGATATTATTTTCCGAAGAAACGACAATAAAAACAGTATTTTTACTCGTTATCGAATTGTATTATATCACGACCGGTTTGATTGCAGAATACGCGTGTTTCCTCGAGTTTGAAGAAACAGGCCTACAATGTCCGTTCCTTCACGAAATGGAGCATGCACGATATTCATAACACGCGATTAACAAAATTCCAATCCGAAATCCTGCGTAAGTTTCGTTTGATTATTGAAAATTCGATAAACACGGTGGACTGGGAACAACGTAAAATCGCGTTATTGCCAGTCTCGATGGAGTCAGAGCTTGTAATTAGTATCCTCGTTCGAACGTTACGTGGAAAATTATGCACGCAACTACAGAATTTTTGAAGGTCGGGGTTGTCGAATAGAAATACACGCTAAGAAGAATATTCGTTAAAGATTTGCATTTTTGGATCATCTACGTATAATTTGTTAAGAACGATTGCTGTGTTATTTTTATATAGCGGTCCATGTTCGGCGCCAGATTTGTTATCGCGAGCGTAAATCATGATACGAACTGAACATTACGATTTCGTGAACCATAAATTACCCCAAAATCCCGCCTACGTTAACCAGGTAAATCATCGAACGAAGTATAATTGAGGTAGTCTGTGTAAATTAGTTAACATATGTATACTATAAGAGAATTTTCACATAATAGAGCGCTCAGTTTTATACAATAATACTACGAACAGAAATTAAGAAATTTCTAGACAAATTGTCAGCAAGAAACAATATTAAATATAACATTGTTTACAACGTCTCCGTTTCATTTTTCCTACTTTCGATTCCATTTTACTTTCGACGAAGGTAAGGGTTATTTTCAATATTAAAAATCGTATCCATCGAAAGTTTGTACGAGAAATTGGATCACGACACTTTCGTCGAAAGAATTCAATCGAAGCTTTTGTAATTTGACGAATCGTTCGGTGGTTCGATTAACGTCAGAGGCGTCCAAATTTTTCCCCGAGCGTTGTTTATAATAATTCGCACGCATCGTCTTGTGATTCAACGATCGTTAAAGACAATACATAACCGCTTCTGTGTTGCAACGGTAAGTAGGTCGTTCTTGTACAGCAGTGGTGTACAGAGGCCAATTCGACACTTTCATCGAGTTTGTTAAACGAATTAAATACTCTAATTGCTACGAAATTAAAAAAAAAGCTAAGAAATATCAATTATTCTCTCGACAAAAGTGTCTTTAATCACGAATAACAGTTATAAGCAAAGTTGTATTAAAAAACGAGGATCTCATTTTTTCCAAGGGAATGCAATATTTATTGTAATGGAAATTCGAAACGTTTGAAATTAAAGTTTAGCATAAATTTAAAAATCTACTCAAATTCATACCAATTAATCTTACACGGTTTCTCATTCAGAATAAATAATATGGTCACAATCGTAGACACTGTGGAACGACTTTACTTAAAAGCGGCAATTTTAACATTTCTCGACCCAAAAAATTTCACAGTTTCGTTCGATCGTGTATAAATGAATTTTTGAAATTTGACTGCAAATGGAGTTGTGGTTTTTTTTTGGAAAAAATGCCCAAAGGAATTAAAAAAAATTGCATTTTATGTTAAACGATTCTTCTGAATTGGAAATTTGGTTCGTTGAAAATATTTTATAGTTTTGTTTGGCCCAGAAGCGAAAAAGGTTGAGCACCGCTGGCGTCTAGTGACCGACACCACTCTTTACCGCAAGTCGATGACGTCAAAAACTGACTCCTCGAATACCGTGTGTATCGTCAGTCGTAAACGTGATGCGTATCACGTAACCATCGATTTTGAAATTGATGGTATATCTTCTTTCCTTTCGAATCGAATTCTTTTTTCCCCCATGGGAAAATTACTATTAGAAATAATTACTGCAGGGCTTGAAAGTTGAGCACACTATTACCTGATTTTTTTTATTAAGCTCCAGGCATATCGATTTGAAACGAATAATTTTCTTATAAATATTGAGAACTTGGTAATCGTGGATCAGTAAATATTTATTTTATTTAATTAGAAGCACGTTCTTAAGTGCAACGATTAGAAACAGTGAAAATGAATGGATTCGTCGATCGCTAGAGATTATATTTCAACAAATAAGTATTACAAATTTTATATTTTCAAGTATGAATCATATATTTGAAGGATGAGGAAAGCTTTGTGTGCTCGTTGCGTGCTCGGAATAGGTAAAAAGTACGAAGAAGTTCGATAATGATATTCAGGAATCCCCCGGCCGTGCATTACGGTAATCCAAATCCCGTTCACGGCATTCTTCGATACTTTATCGTCCAAATTCATTCTAAGTTTCAATTATCTAATATTTAAACTTCCATGCTTCGCACGTACGAAACTTTTAATTTCGTTTTCCAAAAGTAATTTCACCGCTTTGGCAGAAATGTACATATCAATCGAAAATAATAATTGCAAGATTGATTAGAAAATGGCTTTGTATGTTTAAAATATGCGAATATTTTATACTTTTCATAAGATTCAACGCGATGTGAAAACAGTAAACACACATTTTTCTCGATATCTAAACAATTAATAGATACAGAACAAAAATTATTTGAGTAAAAATTATATTTAGTAATAAATTTTAATAATGAATTTAACCGTGAAAAGAGTTTTGCAAAATATCTATGTATTGTATAGTCTACTGTGCTCCGATCAGAAGTTGACAAGCAGGTCTGATCCGTCATGGCATAATCTCCTTTCTGCAAACTTAGGAGGCCTTACAGTCGTGAAAACTGCTTTTGAAACGATAGCAGGTGCAAGTTATAGTATATACCTAGTATTGATAAACCCTAATATGTTTCTTCACGATGGACCTTCTTTCTCGAGATATTTTAATTTAAAGTTTCGTACATATTTAGTAAAAGAATTACTTTTTACTTTACAGAACAAGATTTGGTTAAGTCCGTAGAATGATTGGCTACGAAGCTTTTGGTATTGGGTGGGAATCCCTGACAAATTATTTCCTTTCTTTTATTATTTTGAAATGCAGAAATATATTTTGTTTATTATGTATATGTGACATAAATATTAATGCAAAAAATCCTTAAATTTTTAATACAAAAGATAGTAGCAAATACAGTAGTAAAATAGCATTATATTTCTATCATAATCATTATCAAGTAAATTTTGTATTTCAAATATGTCCTACAATCATAAGCGTCGATAATGACGATACGAATGACTAATACAGAATTTACTCGTTAATGACTAACATGAACTATTAATAAAGAAAAATATATGCGACATATAATGTTATTTTACTACTGTATGCCATATATATTTAATAAATAAAATATATTTTTGCATTTAAATATAATAAAAGAAAAAAAGTTTATGGGAATTCGAACCCACTACCAAAAGTTTCGTAACTAATCACTCTATTGATTTTCCCACATCTATAAAGTAAATTTAAGTAATTCTTTTACTATATGTGTACCAAACTTTAAATCAAAATACATGAAAAACGAAGGCCCATTGCGAAGAAATCTATTACAGTTTTATAATATTAGGTATACACTATAACTTGCACCTGCTATCGTTTCAAAAGCAATTATCACGACTGTAAGGCCTCCTAAGTTCGCAGGAAGGAGACTATGCCATGACGAATCAGACCTACTTGCCGACTTCTCATCGGAGGCACAGTAGATCGTATAATACAAGCATAATAGATGAAGTAGATTATATTGCAACGAATCAGACCAACTTCTCATCCCAGAATAGTAACATTATAAAATAATAAATACAAGCGATAGAGTAGCCGACATAGACTATAATTAGCCGGTAAGATTAATCTATAATTAACACTTTTACGGCCGCTAACGCGTATACGTGACTTCGCCACCTAATAGATATCAGTCACTATCGTGTTACGTGACTTCATCAGTTACCGATTTTTGGCCACTATCGCGTACACATAACTTGGCTAACTGGTTATCGGCCGCTGACACGTATGTGTGATACGATTATTTCGGTAACTACGTCATTATTAATGTGCAAAAGGGATGAAGGTGATTTGTTCGTGAGGGACAGATGTGATTCTTATATAATATTAATTTGTGTAAAATGATTGTGTGATTGGTGCGTTTTAAATTCATTTATATAATTATATCGTTTGTAAATTTGTTCCAAATGCAATTCTCTTCGTTAAATCCTACACTATTAGGGGTCTTGGGTCGAAAATTAATTGCTTCGGAAGTTATGATTTTCGTCCCGAATTCTCATATACTCTTTGTTATATCCTACACTATTAGGGGTCTTGGGTTAAAAATTAATTGCTTCGGAAGTTACGATTTTTGTCTCGAATTTCCATATATACGAAACACCGTGTTAATTGAAAGTTTGTTCTTCTCTGGAAAATTCTATGAACGCTACCGGGGTATTTGTTTGTTAGAGAAACCGTTGCAGGTAAGTTCCATTTCAACGAGGGCCGCGCGTCGATGGGGTACCGTGCCGGAAGAACGGTCCCGCGAAGGAGGCGGAGATGAACGTCGATGGAACGAGCACGAGGCGTAGGAAGGAAGGGGAAACGGTCGACCGTTATGCGGCGTGTTCGAAAGGTTCGTAACCTGTTCGTTCGCCAGCCGTTGCTCCAATCTCGTGGATCCAGCATGCGGACGCCAGTGCCAGGAGCAAGGTCATGGTCAGTGTTACACCGTCCACAGCGCGACAATTGCCACGATCACGAGGAATTCGTCGATCTTCCGGCCGATAGAAAAGGCATTAGGCCAACGGTGACCTGGTTCGACGTCTCCAATTTTCTGGGACGTCGCTCGAGGAACCGGACGATTTGGTCAGCAGAGACTTTCGTTGACGTCAAAAGACATGTTACTTTTTTTATTATCGCCGTGTCGAGTCTCGCCTCTCGCTGCTGACCGTTTAGTGCGGAAGGGGATCTCGGAAGAGGATCTTCAGGGGCCTCGTAGATCGTCCAACGGTCGTGAAGTGTCCTTTCCAAAGTGAAATTAGAGGGAAGAGAGGAAGGAAATCGAGCTGAGAAAGTTGCTTCGAAAATTCGTGATGTTCAAGCAGGCCAGGATCAGGATCAGGATCAAAGTGAGAAGTGACTGGTAGAATTCTTGGAAAATGTTTGGGATTGTTCCGTGATAGAGAGGAACGAGTCATAGGGAGCTATGTGGGCAACGAAAGAGGCTGAAAGCAAACGTGACCAAGCAACGTTGAACCTGTGAATCCTCTTCCCGAAGAATGGACAGGCGGTGTAACGACTAAGTGCATCGATTACTTAGAGGAAAAGAAGCTTCTGGAGTGCAGGTTATCTGCAATCTCTCGGAAAGTAGGTGAGCGAGTACTGCTTTCCTTTTCGTATACACTGAATCCCTATCGAACGCGAAGCACATCTGTGTCTCCGGGATGATTTACTCTTTCATGGAAATGCTTTCAATCGACCGTCGAAGGCTTCGGTTACTTTTCCAATCCTTTTCACTCGGTTTCCCGGACTTTTAACAAACCGTCGACACCTTGCTTCGTTACAGCCAAACGCGATTATTTATTTACTGTTGTGGACACAATTAAGTGGACAGCTAAAGGAAATCAGTGTAAATTAAATTTAACCAAAATAGTATAACTATTGTGCACTTAAGTTTTATATATTAACGTGTTTCATTTGCTTACAGAACTTTTATAGAAACTTCAATAATATGAATTTATAGGAAATGCACTTTTGAAGTAACAGTGTAATAGTCAAATTTAAAATATATAATAACGGTTTAGGAAATGTTTACCTTTTTTACTGGGGCCCCCATTTTCCAAATTAGGCTCATAGTCCTTGTAATATGGAATACAATGACACATCAAATTCAGTAGAACTGGATCATTTTTGAAATTTTAAACCAATTAGTAAAGATATCCACCTGAATTCAACTAGAAGGGTGGGCTTTGAATATGGTTCCATGAGGAGCACCATTTTGCAATTTATTTTTTTATTTTGCCCCTCTTTTTTTTAATTAAATATTATAAATTGACTATAGCAATATTTTTAAATGGTATACAATAAAATTCTTATGAAATAATCTGATATGGTTTAAAAATCCTATTTAATAATAGAGAAATTTTCATATATCCAGTGAAAATTATCAATAATTGAATATGATTTTTAATTAAATATTATAAATTGACTATAGCAATATTTTGAAATGGTATACAATAAAATTCTTATGAAATAATTTGATATGGTTTAAAAATCCTATTTAATAATAGAGAAATGTTCATATATCCAGTGAAAATTATCAATAATTGAATATGATTTTTAATTAAATATTATAAATTGACTATAGCAATATTATCCTCGACAATCAACCAACATTTTCATTAAATATACTTTATTTCAACACCAATGTAAATATTAATTTCAATTATTCGTCAAATAATCTACGTACCATAAAGGTATAGAATATTCAAAACTTAAGTACATAATAGTTATACTACTTTGATTAAATTCATACCTATTTCCCCTACCTGTCCACTTAATTTTGTCTGCAACTGTATTTATTATATAAAAATCTGTCAGTGTACAGAATATAATATTTTTACAATTTAGGTAGAAAATAGATAAAGAATAGTATTTTATTTATTTAACACTAGAACTATCCAACTGCTCAAAATTGATCGTGGTTTTCTATAAGAGAATGGATAAACATTTCTTTAAGTATCTATCATTTTAATTTCTTTATAATTTTCGCTAGTTAAGGGATAAATCTTGAAGAAAGAGAGAGAAAGCAAATATGAACAGTAAGATAGAAGATAGTTCGAAGAAAATGTTAATGAAGGAAAAAAGTATTTTAAATTGACGCGTCACGTTAAATTGTAAAACGGATGGATAGGATTAAAATAGAACGAAACAAAGCAAATAGAACTTATATAACAAAAATAAACATAAACTCGATTTTTATTAGTTTGAATAATCGAAGGAGAAAGTCTTTCGAACCGGTAACACATCTGGATTAATGGCGTTTTGCTCCATTTTTGGCCTGACTCGTTCCCATATCGAATTGCTAATTATATCGAAACCGAAATGCAGTCAAATTTTCAATCAGCAGACTAACAAAACAGGGAGGCATATTTTACTATATTTACTATATTTTTCTATATTTACAAAAATGTCGAAGAATAAATTCTATGATTTTAACCAAAATTAGTGTTAATTTGTTTGAAATAGTCTCCTTTGCAGACCCTACTTTGTAAAGCTCTTGACCCAAATGAAACAAAGACACGACTTTTTAATTTGAAATTAACAAGCTATTCTCGTAATCGACGTTTGTCAAATCATCGTGTTTCGTCGAAGTTTTCGAACAAAAGGCGACCCGTTATCCCGTTTCACATTTTCTGCAAAATTCTGGGCACGATCTCCGTTCAACGAAGTACGCGACTTTCGACCAGCGGATACGTGAGGATCGTCGCGGGCGCACTGCCCGCGTTAATAGAGAATTACTTAACAGCTGAAAGTTTCACGTGTCATTGATATTCCTCTCGGATACGCGCGTTCCCTCCACGGGACCACGTGTCCTCTGATTTTTCCTCGACCGATTTCTAGTTCGACAGTATCGAAGGACCCTCTAACGAAGCCGGGCCCACCGCGAAATTAATCCTAACGAGTCGTTAACAGTTCGTTTAATGACTGTGCTCGCGTGGAAACTTCGATATCAATTCGAAGAGGTTCGACTTCTCAAAGGATCATTTTAATCGAGAATCATTTAAATCAAACACGATGACAAAGATATAGAATATACAAAGAGATAGAAGAAGTTATTTACGAACAACGAACAGAAATTTTAGATCGATTCGTAAATTAACCTCCGCGTAAGTTACGTTCGTAAATTTGTGTATAATATAGAATCCATTAACTTTTTTAAATCCATAAAAAAGCTACAGGCAAAAGCTGGTTTGCGAGAGAACGGAACATTTTCTGTCATTGTTCCGAAAATAAAATCTGCCTAACTCCGTGGAATCGAATAATGCTCGGCACAAGTAGAAACAGCGAGCGATGGACAGACGCGTCCGACGTTCCTCAAACTTTTTACTTGAAAACGTTCACCGCATATCATTCTGAATATTTAAGCCTGAGTTGCTCTGACAGTGAACGCAACATTTGCTTATTTACTCTTTCTGTCTCTACTTAGTTAAATGTTGCAACTGCATCCCTCCTTTTGATCCTTGTCAAAGCATACGCGGACTTGTTCGAGTGATTTTTAAATATCTATCGCTATAAATAAGTTAGAGTCTCGCAGAATTACTATTATATGTGTCTGGAGTGCGGTAAAAGTGGTTTACAATCATCGATTTGCATGTTGTTAGTCATTTGGAACTTCGAATTTCTAATAATTCAATCTCATGTTTTTCATCTTTCTACATTACGTATTTTAAAACAGTCGATTTTAATAATAGAATGCTGTGTTTTAATTCAATATTAATTTAAAAGTTTGTAGTGAACATTGTGCAACACGTATGACTGCAGAGTTGATTGCACCTCGTCAGATATATTAACAAATTCATCTGCAGAACTTATAAACGAAATATTCGTGTTCATTATATTCACCCCTGTAAACCGCTTGGATTTATTATAATAACTAGACTGCGGATGTTTATGCATTTATGGGAAATTTTAATTCTCTAGAAACTACAGTATGCATTTAATAATCAAAAAAAATATAAGAAATATTTAAGGAAGATAGGGAGTATTATTCCATTTCATTAAGGGTCATTTAATTTCATTAAAGAATTCTCAAAAACTACAGAATGCACTTAATAATCATAAAAAATATAAGAAATACTGAAAGTAAGATACGGATTATTATATTTAGGGGTCGAGACAACCTTCTACAAAGTTCCCATTTCATTAAAGAATTTCCATAAAGGCCCACAGTCTAATAATAACTGTCTTTAAAGCGTAACAATGTTTACTATCGCGAGAAGCTTTTAGAGCCTTATGTTGTTTGTAAAAGGAACGTATTTATAGTGAAAAGTATTATTAGATTGCGAGTCTATTCACGACTCTTTATTGACTTTAGTGACACAACCTCATGAATGAACGTATTAATAACACTTTTCTTTACGTAACGTTACAGGTGATCGATAGAGACAATTAATTATAGAAATACAAAATGGGGATCGAGAGCGTTTTAACGAGTGGTCTGACTTCTGCATCGAGCGGACTTTCATGGTTTTTCCCGGTTCTTGCAGCAGCGCTCGTCTACTTCCAATATGAAGTCATGGACAGCGAAGCGCCACCGATTAATATACCATCCGAAGTTCTCCTGCCATCCTACGATTTCATCGTGATAGGAGCAGGTTCTGCAGGTAAAATTAAATATAACATCACAATACCAAATAAAATATTCAATTGCTTCGAAAGTTCCTGGTCACCTATGATGTTTCATACTTTGAGATACCCGGAGGAACCATTTGAGATACGTGTGTCTTTCCACTTTCAACTGTTTGTTTTCTAGTTCAGATTTTTACGAAAATCCTCTTACCCAAATGTTCCTGTTCCGCCAGGAAACAGGCTCCTTCCGCTTCCTGTAAAATTTCGCGTTTCACGGACGACGGGTTTTATTTATAAACCAGTTTGCACAGATCGGATACTAACCTCTGCTCTTATGAATTTTGATCAAGCTCGTCGCGATATTCCAGTTCTATTTTCTCGTTTGAGAAATCTCTGTTGAGGTCAGCGTCCCCATGATAATATTTTTACTATTTAAATTTGCATTATACTGGATCTCATACGAGTTCTTTAAACTGACAGATAAATAACGATTACTAATTTATTCATCAAATAAAATTCACGTAAACGTCTAACAATTTTTAAAAAATACCAGAGATACTTGCGTATTCTTCTGCTTGTAAACTGTCAATAAAGTTTATTTTATGTGCTTTAATTTTGTTTCCCCTAATCATATTATCTGGCAATGACCACAGTTTGATATTGGCAGAAGTGAAATGATTGCTAAACAACGTCCATTAAACTTTTTTCCCCCTTACACGATTAACACTTTTCTTTTTCAAGTATCTCCTCGCTAATTTTCAAATTTCTAGAGAAGCATTGTGTATATTAATCTAAACCAGCTGCTGTCCCCCTGTAATGTATGGTGTTTTTTTTTATGGACAAGTGGGTACAGACACATATCCTAATTGTATTGTGTATCTATGCGCGTTGCTAATAATCCTGCAGAAGATTACACAGCATTCAATAAAAAAAACCCTGTTTTCAACATTGTACGAAGTGCGTTATTCTAATTTTACGTGTGTTTACGAAACTCGTGTGCACGTTCGCTGCAGGGGCCGTTGTAGCGAGCCGCCTCTCCGAGATCGAAAACTGGAACGTGCTTCTTCTGGAAGCTGGAGGCGACGAAACCGAAATCTCGGACGTGCCTCTGCTCGCTGGTTATTTGCAACTCAGCAAGCTAGACTGGCAATACAAAACGGAACCGGAAGGAGGCTCCTGCCTAGGTAAATATTTCGTCCTAAATGTCATCTAATCTTTCCCAATAATCAAATCAACCGTACCACAAATAAGATAAGCGTCGTCTTCGCTTTGGCGCCATCTTTGAATTCAATGCTAGCCTTAAAATTGCCCGTTTCTGGAGCTCTGTCGAAGCTGGAGGTCTGCCAGAACTTCTTGTTCCACAGAGTTACTTGGAATTTTTTGTAAGTTTGCTATTACGCGTCTACCTCTGCATAAGATATTAGCAATTTTAATGTACTTAACTTTTTGCTACATTCCTTCTTACTCGATACTACGCAAGTTAAGTTTATATTAAACTTGTGGGATGAAGACTTCCTACGAGATCTAATGTCTCCTATGTGGAATTACAAACTAACTAGTGAAACTACGTCTTATCGTTTTGTCCCTAGCTGTAACTCAAGTTCATAGTTTGGTACTGGGACTTTGCAAGGTATTATAAACGGCCATATAGGAAATGCAGGCCGTTATTAACACTTTACCGACCGGTAGCAATTTCCACTGCTCACTCGACTGCAGATACATAGCTGATTACCGGCTCTGTTTGACCCTAGGCTATCGCGTGAAAATGAAATTACAGAAACTTTATTATTATTTAACGGAATGAAAGCTGTACATACGCGTTGTTTGCATTCTGAAACATTAAAATCCTTCAATTCGTTCAGAAGTTATGATTTTTTAAATATACACATCAAATTTCGGGGAAACATTTCTGGTCAGACATTATATTTTCAGTAAGGAATTTTTTTTCTCAAAAGTGCGTAGGATTTCGAGGGTATGTGTATTCACCAAAAATGATTGTAATTGGTACCTGCAGCCAAAAATAATTTTTTTAAAACGATATGAAATTTTTCAATTTCGTCGATTTTTCAGGGGAATCGGAATTTCAGGGTCAGACATTGTATTTTCGGTAAAGAATTTTTTTCTCGAAAATGGTTAAGATTTCGAGGGTATTTCTATTTACAAAAAATGATTGTAATTAACCTCTGTAACCAAAAATAATTTTTCCAAATTAATTTGAAATTTTTTAATTTGCCCGAAAAATTTCAGTACGCCCTGTTGATTTGTCTTAAAAATTTGTTTGACGCTCTTTGGAAATGTTTTAATACACCACTGCTGTCTGCCCATCAATACTAATTCAGTGACTATTGTTTTTACTGATCGCCATCCGTAACAAGAGAACACTAAACTAATCATCTCCAAATTTTCAACTTGGTATGGCAGTCAGATTGGGCCACTAAAGTCTATATGACGTGTAAGATCTACTCGTATACCTCGTCTGTGCTATCAGAAGTCTAATCGACTTCTAGCCAATCGAACACTCTAAGCCTTCAGTTTTGAGTCACCCAGAAGGTGTATTCGGTCCAAAGGCTTAATTAAAAGCTCAAAACTTCTTCCTCCCTAATCTCAAATGTCTCCTGCCTGTTCCTCAGCAATGGAACACGGTCGCTGCAACTGGCCACGCGGCAAGGTGATCGGCGGCAGCAGCGTCCTGAACTACATGCTCTACCTGCGTGGCAACAAGCGCGACTACGATATCTGGGAGCAGCAAGGCAACCCAGGATGGGGCTCCAGAGACGTTCTCTACTACTTCAAGAAGTCCGAGGACAATCAGAATCCCTACCTAACGCGTACACCGTATCACTCGACAGGCGGATACCTGACGATCCAGGAGGCGCCTTGGCACACTCCGTTAGCTGCAGCGTTCGTCCAAGCTGGCCAGGAGATGGGCTACGAGAATCGCGACATAAACGGCGAACAGCACACGGGTTTCATGATCGCCCAGGGCACGATCAGACGTGGGAGTCGATGCTCCACGGCGAAGGCCTTCTTACGACCGGCCAGGCTTCGCAAGAACCTGCACATCGCCATGCACTCCCACGTCACCAAGATCCTCGTGGACCCCAAGTCCAAGAGAACCTACGGGGTGGAGTTCGTCAGGGACGAGAAGGTGTTTCGTATCCGCGCCAGGAAAGAGGTGATCGTGTCTGGAGGTGCAGTGAACTCCCCCCAACTGTTGATGCTGTCCGGAATAGGACCCAGGGAGCACCTGATGCAACACGGGATCCCCGTGATCCAGGACCTCCGTGTGGGTCAGAATCTCCAGGACCACGTGGGTCTGGGCGGGCTGACGTTCATGGTGAACCAACAGATCTCCATGGTGGAGAAGAGGCTGCACAGCGTCCAGGCGGTGATGCAGTACGCCATCTTGGGTGACGGTCCTCTGACCGTCCTGGGCGGCGTCGAGGGCCTAGCCTTCGTCAACACAAAATACGTAAACGCTTCCGACGATTTTCCTGATATCGAGCTACACTTCATATCCGGATCGACGAACTCAGACGGTGGTAGACACATCAGGAAGGTCCATGGGCTCACCAAGCAGTTCTACGATTCTGTTTATGGACCCATCAACGACAAGGACGTGTGGAGCGTGATACCCATGCTTCTCAGGCCTAAAAGTAAAGGGGAGATCAAGCTGCGCAGCAAGAATCCGTTCGATCATCCGATGATCCATCCGAATTACTTCAAGGAGCCGGAGGACGTCGCCACTCTGGTCGAAGGAGTGAAGATCGGGGTTGCTCTGAGCAGAACAGCAGCGTTCAGACGCTTTGGAAGTGAGCTGAATTCGAAGAAGTTCCCTGGTTGCAAGCACATGCCGATGTACAGTGATCTTTATTGGGAATGCATGATCAGACACTATTCTGCGACGATCTATCATCCCGTAGGCACCTGCAAGATGGGACCTTATTGGGATCCAGAGGCTGTCGTGGATCCTCAGCTTCGTGTTTACGGGGTCAGTGGCCTTCGCGTTATTGACGCTTCCATAATGCCCAATCTAGTTAGCGGGAATACTAATGCACCGGCCATTATGATCGGTGAGAAAGGTTCTGATATGATAAAGGAGTTCTGGTTGAAAAGAAGAGGTCGGGGCTGAACGCGTCTCTGTGGCGAATTCGGCGATAATTCGAAGAAGATTCAGATTTGAAGATCAGACACCTGAGAAACGGCGATTCTAGGTGGAAGAAAGTTAAATTCTCTTGGACTCTGAAGGATTGAAATCTTTGTGAAAGTTGAAGTTGTTGATTCGAGGAAGAAACTTTGGTACACGATTATCGTGGCAGTTCGACGATGGTACTGTGTTCACAGTCGATTGGGTACCATTTGAACGATGCAATTGCGCGTGGTTAATTGTTTCGGTGGTAAGATACTGCTAACAGCTTGTGTACAAAGGACAGATAATAGTCAAAACTAGAACAGTGTAATGAGCTCAGTTTGACTATAATTGTAACTGCAGTGAAAGGTATTACAAGATTGCCACTTTTGGTATTCTTTCGTAAAGAAACATTTTTACGAAACGTACGATTGTTGTAATAAACACGTACGCAGGTTGGAATGTTGTAACAAGAACAACTCGCTTATTTAATGTATTTTTAGCCTCGTTTTTCTCCGAGTACACATTTTCATCTGCGGGGCAGATAAAATAAAATAATATTCGATGTAACGTGTAAAAACGAGTGTAAAACGATATTTAATTTAATAGAGTATTAAATTTATTTAAAATAAGCATCTCTATCTTCTATTGCCTCCTTTAGATTAAATTGGAATACAATGGCTGACATTTTGCTTCTGAAATACGAGGCTTCTTTCAGACCTACCCTTTTTAGGAAAATTACAGGAAACTCTGATAATCTCTTTGATTTATTCAAATGTAAGAATTTCTGCTAAAGGATATAAATGAACGTAAAGTTTATGTAATTTAATATTTAATTCATGAACGAGCAAGTTTGATTAATGGTACTCTAATGACGACACCTACCCTACTTATGATAAGTTATTAATGAGCAAAAACCTACGTCATTAAATACGTTGACCATGAAACATGTGTCATCCTAAAAAAATGTATATATATATATATAATGCAATAAATTACACTTGTATAATAGAAAAAGGAGCAACAATACGGTATCGCCATTTGCGTAAACATATCGAATAAGCGTGTACGAGTTTTAATGCAGAAATTATGTGGATCGAACTCAGTTAAAGCGCTACCGGAAAGAAATTATCAAACTGTTTTCCTTTTATATAGAACAGCATATTATTCGAGTTTCGTCTGAGTTGGAAGCCTTACGAAACGCACTATCGAGATACTATCAGTTATTATTAATTCAAAAACAACGCACCGTAACAAATATAGATTATAGACGAGTAACTAAAGCAGATATTTTGCAACATTCCGCGCTGCATATCCTTGGCAAACGGAATAATACTTTATATCGTAACGGATTTATGATTTCCCTGCTTCGCTGGACTTTCTACTAAAGACCCTGAACGTTATCCTAAATAATTACTTCAGAAACGAACCAACGCTCGAAGTTGAAACGTCTTAAATAGGTGAGTACCAACAATCAACCTGTTTGATCCATTAATTTTTTTTACACAAATCGTCATTTTATCGCGTCACCACTATTTTGTTTTATGCTTCGTTTGGAAAACATGACTCGAGCCTTTCCACCGTTTCAGAAACGATGGATTTCTTTCGGGGATTCTCGGTGCTCCAGCCACCGTTGATATTCAGACCAGAAGTGACTTTTCTGCTCCTTCTAAGAATACTCATCAACGTGCACAGGCCCGACATCGTCGACATTGAGAACAGAGTGAAACCAATACGTCCAGTGTATATTCATAGCAATTATGATTTTGTTATAATCGGGGGTGGTGCGGCTGGTTCGGTGCTCGCCAATCGTTTGTCGGAGAATGGTACGTGGACGGTGCTCGTTTTGGAGGCTGGTCCAGACGAACCACTAGAAACTGATGTGCCCACCATGTATTCGATTCTACAGTTATCATCGGTGGATTGGCAATTTAAAACGGAACCTACGAACGACTACTGCCTGGCTTCGCCTAATCAACAATGCGAGTGGCCACGAGGAAAGGTATTGTACTTGATATGAAAGGAATTGATATATTATATTAAATTTTTTATTTTTTTATTTCCTTTATATTGTTTATTTATTTTAAGTATATTAATTGAACTAAATCGTAAACCATTTGATTTAATTGAAGGAGAATCCGAATTAATTTCAGGATTTAATACTGAGTATTTTAGAAGACAATTTACAATAATTTTTATGGTTATTAATCCCTATACATGTACTATTTAATTAGAATTTATCAGATGCGTATTGTTTAATTTTGTTTGAATTTTTATTATTTTTATTAATCAGCAATGTGAGTGGCCACGAGGAAAGGTACTTGATATATTATTAACCCCTATACATGTACTATTTAATTAGAATTTATCAGACGCATATTGTTTAATTTTGTTTGAATTTTTATTAATTTTATTAACCAACAATGCGACTGGCCACGAGGAAAGCTACTTCACATGAAAGGAATTTATATATTATTAACCTCTATACATGTATTATTTAATTAGAATTTATCAGATGCGTATTATTTAATTTTGTTTGAATTTTTATTCAGCCATGCTTGCAAAATTATATTTTGCCAATATTTTGGGGAACGTGTGGATTTTAATATATTAGACTTAAAAACGAGTGTAATCTCTCGTTCTGAATTCCTTGTATGAATATATGTATAGATATTATACGATAAAACGTAAATATAAATAAAGGTGAGAAACAATATAGGGTTCAAGAGGGTAAAGTTTTGTGAATCGAACCGTTTGTTTGACGTGCATCAAGAGATTCAACGCGTCAAAATAAGGTAAAAATTAGGAACGACGATAATGTATGTTTGAGACTTGTTTACTTTTCGAGATAGGTATAAGAAAAGCGTTGTTATTAAGAAGAAATTCCGAGAAAGTTTCGGTTATAAAAAACAGGCTTTAAATAAAGCCCTGATTACGCATCGATTACCAGAACAGGACAAATATTTTCTCGATGCGCGCGTGTAAATAAAAATTTGCATTCTTCAAAGTAAATAGCCTTTTTTCCTCTTTTATTTCTTCGTAAAGAATTAAAAGTGTTATTGCACTAGACTTTTAGTACTATTCATCTAATCTTTTCGTAAATAGTAGTTAAGAAGAAAAAATTTCAATATCAAAAAAAAAGTTGTTCTTCAAAATGTTATAGTTTTTAAAATTTTCCATACTTTTTGTTTAAAATAAATTCAACACCAGTGGAAATTTTTGTACACTTATGTATATTTTAATCGTCGGATTGGATTAAAAGACTTAACTACTATATAATAAAAGATAATAAAAAATAGACAAAAAAAATATTTTCGTATAGTTTATGCCCTTAAAAGTCTGCTAGAATAGAACTTTTAATTTTTTACGAAAAAAATAAACTTAAAATTTTTGAACTCTATTACACGAGAATCGCACCCCCCAACAAAATGCAAATTAATTGAATAATTTCCACGGTACTTTTCTAGGCCCTAGGGGGGAGTACAGTGATGAATGGATTAATTTATATACGCGGAAACAAGGAGGATTACAACCACTGGGAGAGATTGGGCAATCCAGGATGGGGTTACAATGACGTGTTACCCTATTTCAAGAAATCGGAAGATATGAGGATCCCGGAATTGCAAAATTCCCCGTACCACCACACCGGTGGATACCTAAGCGTGGAATACTTCAAGTATCGTTCACCTATAACCGACTACTTGGTGCAAGCAGGCGTCGACTTGGGTTACAATGTCGTGGATCCGAACGGACCATCTCAAACCGGATTCGTGTATTCGCAGGCCACGATGAGGAACGGTCTGCGTTGCAGCGCTGCAAAGGCTTTCCTTCGATCGGCTTCAAAAAGGCCAAATCTCCACGTTAGCATTTATTCATACGTGGAGAAGATTTTAATGCACACAGGCGAGTACACGATCAACTATTATCATTAGAATTTTAATCCATTAATTCTTTAACGCGTCCACTGCCACATGGGATCTCCCAAATTGCCCACGAAAACGAAACTTTGTTTTTAGACATTTGTAAACTACCCATAATTTGGCATAGAATTTATTTTAACGCGTTGACTGACACACTAAATCATTCAAATTGTCCACGAAAACGAAACTTTGTTTTTAGACAATTAGATACTATCCACGATATAGCATAGAATTTATTTTCTACCGTTTCATTCGTTGGTTCAGGAAATTTGGATATTTATCAGAGTTTCATAAAGTATAACTTCTGATAGAGTATATGGAAAGCGACTGCAATGTGAACTTGAACCCATTTCACCTGTTCTGCAATTCATTCTACTGTGGCGTCACCTCCTGTGCTCGCCACCAGAGGGCTACGCTCTTGCCTCTCTCGCAAGTGCTCGACTGACTGTCCTGGCCCCTAAGGCAGGGCCTCTCCTTTCCTTTCCTACCTTCGTGCTATCTCACTTACAATTCCTCCATTTAGCAAAGCGCGCCACACTATAATTTATCCTACTTATTCCCAGGTTAAAGAACTGAATGTATGGTATCTACGCACCGAATGAAATGTTTCTGAAATCTGAAATCTACTTTTATTCTCTATTTTCAGAGGGAGATGTGAAGACTGCCTACGGAGTGCAATTCCTCGTAGGTGGACAACGGATTGAAGTGAGAGCCAATCGCGAGGTTATTCTATCCGCTGGCGCGTTGCAATCGCCCCAATTGTTGATGCTGTCTGGAATCGGTCCTAAGGATCATCTGACAGAGATGGGGATCCCCGTGGTGCACAATTTGCCAGGCGTGGGTCAGAATCTTCAAGATCACGCGGGGGCGGCCGGTATAACTTTCGTAGTGGATCCACCGGCGAATTACAGGGGCTCAGAACCGTTCACGTTCGACGTATCGAAGACTGTTACACCGCGTACGATCACGGAATTCGCCACGAATCGTACTGGACCTCTGTACTCTTTGTCGTTAACCGGATCTATGGCTTTCGTCAACACAAAGTATGTATTTAATGCAACGAACATCGTATGATCACCGCCAGAGGGCTACGCTCTGGTCTTTCTCACAAGTGCTCGACTCATTCGTATATATACACTCCTCGATCAGTCTGTCCCGGTGTCTGAGGCAATAGACCATTTCTTTCCTCGTGCTATCTCGCTTACTTCTTCCTACAATTACAATAAATAATATAAATACCAGGTGATCAAACGTCGAAACGATTTTGTATTTCAATTTACAATTCTATGTGGAAAACCCGTTACATCTCAACAGTAAAATGTATTCAATTGGAAATGTATTCAAACAGACAGAGGAAAAATAGGTTCTTCATTAATTGAGCATATTCGTTGAAGATTCTTATCAACGCATGGAATAAATTCTTTCAGATACGCTAACGCGTCGGCGGATTATCCTGATATACAGTTCTTAATGAGCTCTACAGCCGACCATTGGGACCGTACTCCCATCATAAACACGCAAGTATACACGATCGTCCCGCTTCTTTTGAGGCCTCTAAGCAGAGGATACGTCAAGCTGCGTTCGCCATATCACATCCATCCGGTCATCGTCGCCAATTACTTCAAGGAACCATACGATCTCGAAGTCCTGGTAAAATAACTCTAATTAAAATACTCGAAAAGTTTCAGGATAAATTCCATTAACGCGAATCACAAAGCCCCATTATTCCCGTACACCGAAAAAAGCTAAGTAGAATGAAAATATCCCAAAGCCAAGAATGTACAATTCCATAAATTCCGAAATTCGGAGTTCTGATATCGCTAAATCGAATCGATAAATTCTTGAATGAGTCTTTAGAGTATTTTAACAATTATGAACGTTTAATTGACACAGATAGAAGGGGCCAAGATCGCTAACCAAATGGTGCAGACACCAACGATGAAGAAATTGAACGCTCGTCTGCTGTGCGATCCAAGATGCTCGCGGTACGCGTGTGAATCGGATGATTATTGGCGATGTATCGCTCGGCAGTATACAATGACGATTTATCATCCATCAGGGACGTGCAAAATGGGACCAGCTAACGACCCCATGGCTGTGGTCGATCCCAAACTGAGGGTTTACGGAATCAATAAGCTACGAGTGATCGACACTTCGATCATGCCGACAGTCGTTTCTGGCAACACGAATGCACCGACGATCATGATCGCCGAAAAGGCTGCTGACATCATTCAGGAAGATTGGAGAATAAATAGTTAGGGTTTTGCTGTTTTCTGAAATCGTGCAAACATGTTACGTGTTATTAACTGCAATAACAAAGACAGTAACGATAATGAAGATAAGAACGATGGTAATAAGGGAGTCACCGTCAACATTTATACAGAGAAAAACAACGATTATTGAAGTGTCAAAATTGTTTAAATGTCGTGGGAATAGTAATGTTAACGATTTATTTTTATTTAGACTATTGGAGGCATTGGAAATCCAGGGTTTTATTATAATAAGGCAATGTTATGCAAAATTTATGAGCTTTGCGCGATAAATACCGATTGTCTAACGATATATAAATTTTCCGTATATTAAAAACGTATTAAACTTTAATGCTTTGCAATCGGTTACGTACGCTCGGATAAATGCACGCTAGTTTTAAGGACGAAATGTTAATGCAAGCGAATTCTCATGACGTTTTGTATAAAAATGAAATATTATAGGTTTACGCGCACCTCTTTCCCGAGTATACATGATATTGAAAATGCAAATACGCATAATATGATGAGTTGTTATGAGACGTTTTATTAACGCAATTAATCTTCTATAATTTGCACGTATGAACTGGCGGTATTCTTCTTATCGGGCAATCTGTGTTGTTGCAATTGACTTGTACTGGTACGAAATACGACGATTGAAATAATTTAAAGATATAAAAAAAAATAAAGATGGTTCTGTCGTAGAGGTGAATATGAAACTCGAATAACAATTATCGAACTGTCCATTAGAACCAATAATTTTTAATGAACGTCTCACAAAAGGATAAATAAAAACTATTTTATTTAATATACAAACATATGAATTTAGTCGTAATAAAACTTATGTATACAATTTTATTTTCTAATCGAATAAAATCTTCCCACGTATGAGAAAAAGTATACTCCCTCCCCTCCATCAGCGACCCCTTCTTGTACTCTTTTGTCACATTAATGGTTAAGGTATTAACAACAAAGCAATAAATGTAAAAAAAAAGACGAAAATTTAAGGAACTAAAAGTTGGACCAAACGGAAAACAAGAATCTGACAGCGGAGGCTAAGAAAACACAAGGCAAATCCGTCGAAAGGCTAAATTCAACACAAGAGAGTGAGAAAACAAAAATCTGACAGAAGGGATTATACTTGAACTGCAGCGACCGAGGAAACGGAAAGTAAATCTGACGGAAGCGACGGATCGTAACGAAAAATAAAAAGATATTTATATATAAAAAAAATAGTAATTATAATTTAATAACGTAAAAACAATATCACTAGTTCGACTAAATTTTAAATAAGCATATAGTCGAAGTTTCTACCAAGATCAATAAAGAACCTACGTTGTGTCTTCAATGAAGTTAAATAATTTATGACTCAATTAATCTAGAAGCTAATCCTAACTTTCAGGCATAATTCAGATACGAAATTACCTTTCGTTCCTTCTAATAACAGCAGATTTAGAAATGACAAATACATTCTAAATAAGAAACCATATTTATGAAATTACACATGTATTTTTCCAGGTCGAAGTTTTCTTCTTTATAATATTATTACCCACAACAGGAAGCTTTCTCATACAAATAGAGTTTTACAGAAAGCATTTTCTAATTCTCTATTAAGAATGGACCTTTGGGAATAGCGAACCATCGCAAAATATAGACTCATAATACGCGATGAATCATCCATAGAACATGATTAATTATATTTATAACTATAATGCGATAAATTATATTTGCATAATAGGGTAGAAACGGTTCCACGTGCAGCCACAATAGGGGTTTGCCATTTGCGTAAATACTTCGATAAGTATATCAACGATTCTTTGTAGAAGTTTTGCGAAATTTTTTTTTTATATCGAACAACATATGTTCGAATTTTAGATGAGTTTTAGGAGTCTCGTAGAATGCAGTGCGCGGAGGTTTCGGTTATCATTAATCCTAAACTTGCTCTCCAATTTTAATAGTTTAATAATTTCTCTGCTTCGTTAAACCTTTCACAGAATTTCTAAACGATCGTCGAAATTGTTACTTTGGAAATAGATCACCGTTCGAAGAAGAAGAGATCGAAGAATACAAAATGCGTGAGTTTTCGATTTCTGTACTAACAAATATATAAAAAAATAGAGCCGGGAAAATGTTGGCATAACTTTTAAGTTATTTAAAAAGTTTCATTTTATTATCTGTGATAAATATTTTTAACAATAGCAATGACAAAATGTAAAAATATAATTAAATAATTTTCTAAATGATTAGATGTTCCTGATACTAGTGACGCGTTTAACTAAAAAATTTACAAATTTGTATTTGCGTGATTGGTTAACAGATAATTCACTACTATAGTTTTCGGCGTTATAAATTGCAACAATGCGTTCTAATGTTAAATCTCAATATTATGACGTTAAAATTTATGTTTGTGTTTATCCGTAACGAATAAAAATTTATTGGGGCAAATACGCCATATCTCATTTTTTGTATAAATTACGTTTACTGCAGTACTTTCCTTCCTCATAGGACGCAAAGTAAATACATTAAATCGCGAAGCTTATCAAGGAATAATCATACAAAAATCATTGTTATCTCAATCGCGTACTCCCACTCTTCGCTTTTGTTCTTATTTAAGAATGCAGCGCAGACCTGTGCATAGTAAATAATAACATTTTCTTGGGCAGACGGTGTGCATTCTTAATTTTCAATGTAAGTACAGACTCGAAAGTTCTTTAGAAATTATATATTATATCGATCAATTTCATTTCGAACTTCCTGTAATATTACTTTATAATTGTTTATAGAAAGTTTTTTACTTTAACGATTTTCACATACTTTTTTTCCAAGTACGAAAGGAAAATAAAAATATAAGACCTCGGAATTTATCATGTAATATCCATATTAAATTGTAAGTTATGTTTTTGGTATCTTTACTCAATTTTCCATTGTTATTTAAAGATCGCGTACTGCTTTAGTAACACTTTAGTGGACAGACGAATTGTAATTTTAAACGTAAGTAATTGAAGTTGTTCCTTACGAAATTTAGGATTCATTGAATTTGTCAAATTTGTTAGAATATGTAAAGTGTCTACTTTCCTGGAATATTTCTTTATAAATTTGTCTCGAACAGGAAATCAGTAAGAAATGTGGTAGACTATCTGATAAGAGAAATAGTTTGCACTTTGACGATTCATCCACAATCTGACTGAAACGGGAGTCTAAATTCTAGGTCTAAAAGGGTTAAAAAGGTGTTTTCGGAGGTAAAAATTGTAGACACGATGCTCTATTTCGATTCGTTTCTGTGACAACACAATTGTTACCGAAATCTCACTAACGCGTGTAACGTTTGCTTTATTAAAACACCGATTACGTTACAAAATGTTGATCATTGTTGTGTCTTTGGGGGTCGTAAATCACGAACAGTTTGCCCTGGTACTTGCATTGCACGATAATGGATGCACAGAAGCTTATTATAACGCTCTTATTATGTGTTTGATAAAATGTTGTTTCACTTTTCGAGATCAACACGAGAATTCTTGTCGATTTTCCAACGGTTTTCAGAATTTCTTCCACGCTTTCGTACACTCGCCACGACGTAATTCTCAAATATTAGCATAATTCCAATTTCTATGGAAGCAGCTTTCAATTTCAGCCATTATTATCGTTACTTCATTAACTTGTCAACTTTGACATTCGTAATTGCTTAAATGTATCGTTCAACGAGCAAGTGTATATATGAGTCAACGAATTAAATGAAAATATTCCCCACTCGTTAAGCGATGTAATTTGTCTAAGATAACATCACGAATCGTACGAAAGAAAATATACAGGAGTTAGGAACTTCGAATTGAAATAAAATGAAAACTACGGAAGATAATCTGGTGCTTGTTCTATTTTGATATATAAAAGATGAAATCGTTAACTGGTAATGGTCACATACTTCCTTCATTTTGATACAAATAAAGATCGATACACCATTCATAATTTTTTAGAGTATAAGGGTCGATTGGGGATTAGCATTTAAAATTCGACAATTTTGCTCATTTGCAATGCCAATCTATCCTAAAGTGAGCTCGATTTCTTTGGAAATATTGGGAATCAGAGCTCCATTAGCACTGTAGGTTTCAATTCTCGAGTCAATTGTGTCTTCTCAAGACGAAAGCCTAAATCTTAACACTTTAATGGCCGCACGTATCACGCGAAGACCTTTGTTGGTCACCACTGATATTGTAGACCAAAGTGAGATACATGAAGCTAGGAATATTATTATAAGGAATTATAAATGTAACCTCAAGAAACGTAATAAGTTGAATGTATGATGAAATGGTGGCTGATACAGTAAATCACGCACACGTGACAGTGGCCAAAGTCTGTTAGCTCGCAAAATCACGTATACGTGACAGCGGCCGTCAAAGTGTTAAGTCTGAGGAATGCCTGAATGATTTTCAACAGTTTCTCCCTACAGTACCAGTATTTTCTGAGCACTAAATTTTTCCACTAAACGATGCAATCGTGAGCTCCACAATGGTTTGCAAACCGAATACAAATGTCAGGTGCAAGTGTATAACATAGAGATCCTATATTAGTCGTAAAATTTAGATGAAAAATAACGATCGAAAGAGTTTTCTAGCGTTTCCAGGTGATGGTGAGCTATAATTCGCGACTTTTTCTGTCGACAGCGACGCGCGAGGAGCTGGAAACGATGTCGTCCATTACGAGACTCGGCGACAAGCTGTCGGTGGCTATGACCACCGCGGCGGAAGTGGTTTTCGTGGTAGCCCTGAGCATGTACATCACCCTGTACAGACCCGACATCGCCGACATCGACCACAGAGTGAAGCCTGTGATACCATCGAACATTAACAACAGCTACGATTTTGTCATAATCGGTGCTGGTTCCGCTGGCGCGGTGATGGCCCATCGTTTGTCGGAAGTTGGTTGCTGGTCGGTGCTTCTGTTGGAAGCTGGACCGGACGAGCCAGAAATATCGGACGTACCTGCCGTGTACCCGACTCTGCAAGGCTCGGTTTGGGACTGGCAATTTAAGACAGAACCTTCCGACAAATATTGCCAGGAGAGAGACAACCAACAGTGCGCATGGCCACGTGGAAAGGTACGATAGGATTTTAATTAAAGGTATTAAAAGTATAATTGCGATCCACGAAGCAATAGTATGAAACGCAATTTTGTTGTATTTGATCCTTAAGGGGGTCTTCCACTGTAAAACGCGTTTTTTTTTTTTTATGTTCTCTTTCGTATTTTTTGTATAAAGAGAAAACCAACAGTGCGCATGGCCACGTGGAAAGATACGATAGGCTTTTAATTAAAGGTATTAAAAGTATAATTGTGATCCACGAAGCAATAATATGAAACGCAATTTTGTTATATTTAAACATTAAGAGGGACTTCTGCTGTAAAAGAAGTTTTTTTTATGTTCTTGATACTTTTTTTATACAGGGTGTTCGGCCACCCCTGGGAAAAATTTTAATGGGGGATTCCAGAGGCAAAAATAAGACGAGAATCAAGAATACCAATTTGTTGATGGAGGCTTCGTTAAAAAGTTATTAACAATTAAATTCAAAAATTTCAAATCGTTCTGGAAAAATTATTTTCAGTTGCGGGGATCAATTATAATCATTTTTGGTGAATAGACATACCTCCAAAATCCTATCCACTTTCGAGAAAAAAAATCGGGTAGGTGCTGAAATTTTTCGGTGAAAAAAAAATATTTACAATCATACTAAAAAAATTATATTTAGTTACACGGATCAATTACAATCATTTTTGGTCATTACACATACCCCCGAAATTCTACGCACTTTCGAGAAAAAAATTCGGGTAGATTTTTTCGACAAAATTACAAAATCTAAAATAGTTCTAAAAAAATTACTTTTAGTTGCGGGGGTTAATTACAATCATTTTTGGTGAATAGACATACCCCCGAAATCCTACCCACTTTCTAGTAAAAAATTCGAGAAGGTGTGAAATTTTTCGACGGAAAAAAAAAATTGCAAATCGTTCTGGAAAAATTATTTTTGTTTGGGGGGGTCAATTACAATCATTTTTGGTGAATAGACATACCTACGAAATCCTGCGCATTTTCGAGAAAAAAATTCAATGAGGGCGGAACTTTAAACGTTAATAATTTTTTGACAAAGCCTCCATCAACAAATTGGTATTCTTGATTTTCGTCTTATTTTGGCCTCTAGAATCCCACTTTTCCTACAAAACATCAATCATAAATGGCCCAATAGTAAGGGTTGATTTCACAAGATTTTCATCGAAATTTTCCAGGCTCTCGGTGGAAGTAGTACGATAAACGGGATGCTGTACATTCGTGGCAACAAGGAAGATTACGACAACTGGGAGAGATTGGGAAATCCTGGATGGGGTTACAAGCGTGTATTGCCCTACTTCAAAAAGTCCGAAGATATGAGGATCAAGGAATACGAATCGTCGGAGTACCACGGAACCGGTGGATACCTGAGCGTAGAATTCTTCAGATATCGTTCCCCTATAACTACTTTGTGGATGAAAGCAGGTCAAGAGATGGGTTACGAAATCTTGGATGTGAACGGGCCCAGGCAAACCGGATTTACGTTCTCGCACGGCACTGTGAGGGATGGTTTGCGTTGCAGCACCGCGAAGGGTTTCCTTCGATCGGCCAGGGACAGAAAGAATCTGGACATCAGCACACACACTTTCGTGGAAAAGATTTTGGTGCGCAAAGGCGAGTACACGGCGTAACAAAAACGCTAATTGTTTCGTTAAAAAAGATTTTTTCCCTCTAAGTTGTCATCTGTTGCATGTAGGGGTGTGCGAGATCTCGATCGGGATGGAATCCTGAGAATTTCGAAATACCGAAAGCATCTGTGATTCCCGACATTTTAAGTTTCTCCATACTTCCAACAATTACCAGAATCCGAAAGCTATTGTGTTCTCGAAGATTACATATCTTATTAATCGTGAATGTTTATGTTAGTAATATTGTAGAAAATAATTGCAAATTTCGATAATTCTGGCAATGCAGAATTTTAATATCGATAGATATTTCTGAATGGATAGTCAATCACACAATTGTGTTCCGAGAATACCAGATATTATTCTATATCCCGTATGTGGTGGGGAATCTCGAACATTTTTGGGGTCCCGTATATTCTTGGAAATCCTAGATCTTCGCAGGATCACGTGTACTCTCGGGATCCCGCACATACTCGAGAATCCCGAATATTTTCGAGAATCCCGAATATTTTACGGAAATCCCGAATATTTTCGAGAATCCCGAACACCCCTAAATGTATGCACTATCGTCCATATGTCACGAGACATTTTGATCGTACGTCTTGATAAATGCAAATTACACATACAATTTTTAAAAAAAGGCGACTTTATTTTAAGTGACTGCTTTAGTATAAATTTTTCGAGAAATCAAGTGTTTAAAATCGAAAAAGGACACGTGAACAATATTGCAGAGAGCTTAGAATGGTATTAGTGAAAAAAATACAAAAATATAATTGTCGATAGAATTCTACCATTAATTTGAAGGATCGTTTTCAAACTGATACACTCATAAAACGAACATTTTGAATTAGTTAATGTTTGTCTATAATGAAATGAACAAATATGCGTTAGTTTCATTGTACTATTTACATCGCTTCACAGTGTTAATATGTTTTTATTCCACGTTCGAGTACCTGGTGACTTATGGGGGTGTTGCTGACTAAATTGTAATTATTTCGGTCTTTTTTGTGATTTTTTCTTTTAATGAGAGGTAGGTTGTCTTGTGCTGAGATTTTGCAGATATATTTAATTCATTTTATAAATACGTCCAGTATTTTTTGATGATAAAATATTTTCAAAAATACTGTGTTGTAGAAAAATTTCTATGTTATTAAATAGTTTCAATGTTTCACTTGCACTCTCCATCCATAAGGGGGTATTACTATCTAAACTGTAACTATTTCGGCTTTTTTTGTGATTGTTTTTAATGGTAGGTAGGTTGTTTTGTACTGAGATTTTGCAGATAGATTTATTCATTTTATAAATATGTACAGCACCTTTTGATGAAAAAATATTTACAAAAATACTGTACATATTTATAAAATGAATAAATATATCTGCAAAATCTCAGTACAAAACAACTTACATACCAATAAAAAAAATCATAAAAAAGGCCGAAAAAATTACAGTCTAGACAGCAACACCCTTATGAATGGGAGTGTAAGTGAGACATAAATATATTAATAGTGAGATATAAATATATCTGCAAAATTTCAGTACAAAACAACTTACCTACCAATAAAAAACAAAATCATAAAAAAGGCCGTACAAATTAGTCTAGACAGCAACACCCTTATGAATGGGAGTGTAAGTGAGACATAAATATATTAATAGTGAGATATAAATATATCTGCAAAATCTCAGTACAAAACAACTTACATACCAATAAAAAAAAATCATAAAAAAGGCCGAAAAAATTACAGTCTAGACAGCAACACCCTTATGAATGGGAGTGTAAGTGAGACATAAATATATTAATAGTGAGATATAAATATATCTGCAAAATCTTAGTACAAAACAACTTACCTACCAATAAAAAACAAAATCATAAAAAAGGCCGAAAAAATTACAGTTTAGACTGCAACACGCTTATGAATGGGAGTGTAAGTGAGACATATATATATTAATAGTGAGATATAAATATATCTGCAAAATCTCAGTACAAAATAACCTACCTATCATAAAAAGGCCGAAAAAATTACAGTCTAGACAACAATACCCTTATGGATGGGGTGTAAGTGAGACATTGAAACTATTTAATAACACAGAAATTTTTCTACAGCGTATAGAATAGTACAAGGAATTACTGTATCTTCTTATATTGGTTTTTCGTTTCGCAGAAGGAGGTGTGAAGACTGCGTATGGCGTACAATTTACCGTAGGGGGTGAACGCCACGAGGTGAAAGCCACTCGCGAGGTTATTCTATCTGCTGGCGCGTTGCAATCGCCGCAAATGTTGATGGTGTCAGGAATCGGTCCCAAGAAACATTTGGAGGAAATGGGGATCCCGGTGGTGCACGATTCCCCTGGCGTGGGTCAGAATCTTCAGGATCACGGGGCTATCGGCGGTGTAGATTACTACGTGGATAAACCGGAAGACTACAAAGGCTCGGAACCTTTCACATACCTTTTCCCGGAAATTCTCACTATTAAGACTATTATGGAATTCGCGAAAAATCACAGCGGACCCATGTACACAGAACCCTTGGGCGAGGGTATGGCTTTCATCCCTACCAAGTGAGTACTATCTTTAAAAATATTTTTTCTAGTATTTAGTAACTTTTTCACGAATGTAAACTACCGTGAATGTTGGAGAATCTCGATTAATTCAGAGGGAAAAGGAGCAACGTATGTACTATGTGTCTGCGAGAAGTTGACTGGTGAAAGGACCGCTAGATCCCCACTCTAGTTTAGAGTTTCGCGCTATTGGTCGTACCTAGAAAGTGGGGATGGGCGGAGCAAGCAAATCCTCCCTGTCAACTTTTCGCGAATGCACAGTAGCAACGACCGAATAAGCGAAGTAATTTTCACAGAATAACTAATATATAACCTGAATAAGAATTGGACACTCCAAAATTTTCCATTTCCACTTATTATCAAGGGAATCTATCCTAATATGCGAACACTGCAACACAACAATTACAACGGACCACCTAATTCTTGATTTGCTAAAATACAATACTCTTTGACGTAAACACAAGCTGGAATCTCAACGTAAAGAAAACCTCACCAACAAAAAGCTACGCAATCTATTGGGATTCATCACAGAAGCAAAATTAATTTAAAAAACTACTAAAAAAAAGAAGAAAAAAGAATCATTCTTAACCCTTTGCACTCCTTTGGCGCCGTCATGGTGATAATGCAATAGCTCAATTCAAGTTTCATTTATGATAACAGAAATTGAATTTAGGAAACATATGAATAAAATTTAAATTACAGGTATTTATACACTTTTGTAGAGAAAAGAATAATTTTTTATTTTTAGGAATCAAATCACAAAATTACAATTGACATTGCTAGTTGTTCATACTGATAAAGACTTTCAAAGTGCAAAGGGTTAATACTGTTCATGTTGAAAACTCGTGAAAAGATTTAAGTTCAAGTAAATATTTTACAGAATTTTATTAAACTATTCGTTTCTTCAAGTATCACCAAAATCGAAGGGAACAATTTTCGAATGTTGATCAAGCATACCACCAACTATTTATCAATCTTTATCAATATGATCTAAAACACATTGATAAATATTGAAAATTATTGCCTTCGATTTTGGTGATATTTGAAGGGACGAATAGTTTAATAAACTTGATAAAATATTTACTTGAACTTGAATCTTTTCACAAGTTTTCAGATTGATAAATATAGATTCAAATTGTAATGCACAGGAGTATTAAGTTTCATTAAACGAATAGAAATTTAAACAAAAATTTTGTACTGACGTGGCAAATAAATCTTAAATTTCAGATACGCCAACGCGTCGGAAGATTTCCCTGATATACAGTTCATAATGACTTCTGCGGTGGACAATTCGAACGGTAATCCCAAGGTATACTCGGACGCGTTCACGACTATTCCACTCCTGCTGAGACCTCGAAGCACAGGGTACATCAAACTGCGTACACCGAACCCGAAAGACCACCCAGTCATCGTTCCCAATTATTTCAAGGAACAATACGATATGGACGTCTTGGTAAGAATTGATTATTTATTGAAAGAATCTAAGAATACACGATTTTTCGCAAAAAAATTCAATTGTAAAGTTTCGTAGCATTTTTTGATTACGGGATTTTGTTTTGAAATTGACAAAAGATTAACACACATTTTAATTAACAATCTGTCTATTGAACGTTCATAAGTATACTGCGGATTTTTATGCAAAGGGGAGCTTTGTAGAGGGTCGTTTCAACCCCTAAATATAATAATTCGTACTTTACTTTAAGTATTTCTTATATTTTTGCATATTAACACATTATCGATGGGAAACGAGTATTCTCGTTTTACAAGTGAAAATATTATTCACATAAAACTCCTGAAAATTTCAATGAAAATACATTATATTAAAATATTATAACATTATATAAATATTATATATTAAAATCACCTATCGTATAGGAAAGTTTTAATAAAAATGCCCCGTCGTTAATGCGTTAAGTGCATTTTGTAGTGTTTTGAGAATTAAAAGTTTCCCATAAATGCATAAACATCCGAAGTCTACTCGAAAGCATCGACTATTTCACTTTTTCCTATTAGTATAGAAAAAGCAAGGTTTCCAAAGAGTTTTAAAAGATTCGTTCAAGGAATACAAAACACAAAAATATTTTAATTCAATTTTCTAATTAATAAAGATCGACGGAGCGAGGGTCGCCCACGAGTTGACCAAGACCCCAACGATGAGGAAATTGAACGCCAGACCGAGATGCGATATAAAATGCTCCCAATACGGATGCTTGTCGGATAAATATTGGGAATGTTTGGCTAGATCTTACACGATGACGATTTATCATCAATGCGGGACGTGCAAAATGGGACCCAAGAAAGACCACATGGCTGTCGTCGATGCTAGATTGAGGCTTCACGGTGTTGCTAAACTAAGAGTGGTCGACGCTTCCGTTATGCCAAAAATCACTTCCGGGAACACGAACGCGCCAACGATCATGATCGCTGAAAAGGCTTCCGACATGATCAAAGAAGATTGGAAAAGGCTATAAAAGATCGAAGTCTCTCTGGTTCTCGAAAGTATTCGAACGAGTTACGTTCTGTTAACCTCTTCCCGGTGCCATTTATTTAGCTGGATGAAATGACCCAAACGATAGGCGTCAACGCGCGGTAAACAGACCAGACTGATGCTAACACTGTTTTAACAGAGATTATAAGAATCGTGACCGACTCTTGCGGCGTACCGATAGGAACTAAAACTCAATCACGATCGTGATCTACTGTCCGGTAGCCTGGCTCGTGATGTTTACGTTTGGGACGACTTTCCGTTCGCGAGTCTGACTTGTGACATTCGTGTTTGGGTCAAAACCTTCGTCACGAGGCAGACTCGTTAAAGTACGGGAGGGGGTTAACTGAAATAACGAAAACGTTTACGATAACGAAGAATCATAACAACGACGGTGTCAACGATAACCTCAAGAATTCTGATCAATGTCAAAACTTTTTACACGAGAAATAACAATGCCTATGATTTTTTGTTATTCGAGCTGTTGGAGTTTGTCGCGAGTATATAGAACTTTATTGTAATGAAGTAATACGATGAAAAATTTGTAAGCTTTGTGTGGTAAATGACCATTGTGTAAGGGGATGTAAAGTTTCATGGTAATAAAAATGAATTAATTGAATGATATATATAGTTAGTACGTACGTCCCGGAACAAAGTCAGATTATTGTTATACTATTTTTAAGGGACAAGTGTCGACGACTGAACTGGACCCTCGTACTTCGTTTTTGATAATTGTATTTTTACGACTCTTTGTACTCAGCAATTATTTTTTTAAGATATCTGTTCACTTATCGTTGAAACACCATTTTCTAGTTTCGTTTGAGAATGTATGTATAATTTTACAAAGCAGACAGTACATTCTCGATAACTGAAAATACTAAATACTAAATATTATTCAGTCTGATAAGAGTTAACGTTAAAAAAAATTAGCTTCGATTCCTGAACTATTTAAGAACATTTTATGTGGATTGCATGGTACATTGGTGAACCTAATTACAGACCTGATATTGCAATGTTAACAAAAATTAAATACCTTTACCATGGACGAGACGAGCAACGAAAGTTGTTTCTTATTGAATTTGTCGAATTGGCAGAAACATCTTGTATTGGAATCGACAACGAACAGAAAACAGCTGATGCAGCGAATTTCATAGTATCGAACGAATTTAATTTACATTCTTTCGACCAGTCGAGTTTTATGGTTGGTGAACAAGAACGGTGCGCAAAGTGAAAGGTTTTTTAAACGTTCGATACATATTTATAATAAAGTATAAGTGTATAAAACGTATTCGTTACTACGAATTGACAAAGAGGTAATTATTTTCGAGGGATGTTCAGAGGTTCGAAAAATCTTTCTATAAATCTGGACCATTGTTATCGTAATACTTTACCGTTTCATTCAGAAATTGACGATGCCTCAATCGATCATGTTTATTGCAGAGTTCCATCACGTTCTGACAGAAACACGGACCAATATTTATATGGCAATCGACTAAATTCGACCTTACGTGCGTGTCGTTCGAATTACAGCGAAACAGTGAACGGCGTTAAATGGAAATAAATTTATTACACCTGCAATCGAATTTCGTCGACTCGTGCCAAATCACGCGACCCACTTGTGTTTCGTTCGCTCTCGTACTTCGAACACAAAAGCATCGTTAGAATCGTTATTTTTAGAACAAAGATAAAATTGTCGCGCTATTAAAAAACCATAATAATTATATCGATTATTCCGGAGGTTCGAAACGATGGCTACCATTGGCAGACTATCCGCGCTACGAATAGCGATGACCTACGGGCCGGAATTGAGCTTTTTCGTCCTTTTGAAGGTGCTTATCACTATGCACAGATCCGACATAGCCGATCGCGAGCATAGAATAAAACCAGTAACTCCGGCGGTCATTCGAGACGACTATGACTTCGTCGTAATCGGGGCTGGTTCGGCGGGCTCGGTGATGGCCAATCGTTTATCGGAAAACGGCAGTTGGTCCGTGCTTCTGTTAGAGGCCGGTCCAGACGAACCGGACATAGCGGACGTGCCTACCGTGTTTCCGATTCTGCAACTCTCCCCGATAGATTGGAAATTTAAAACAGAAGTTTCTGACGAGTACTGTTTAGCGATGAAGAAACACCAATGCAGCTGGCCACGCGGCAAGGTAAACTATTGGGCTGTTCGGAAAGTAATTTCGTTTCTCTCCTTCGTGAAAAGGAACAATTTTCTTATAATATGTAAATATCTTATGGAATTGTGTATTGGCCATTCTGGTCCAACACCTTTTGTTATCTTCCTGGTAATAGCATGTGTTAAGGATTCTTAAGGAACCTTCACATCGCGGGGTGTATGATACGGACGTGACTGCTCCGCTATTTTTGAGGATTATGCCTTCGAAAAATTTTTACTTGACGAATTATGTTATGGTAATTAAGGAAACTCCAAACTCCACACGGGACTTGGAATCCTTGGAGCTCTTCCTTGCCTCAATAGCGATTGACGTATCGTAAACTCGTGGGAGCGCACATCTGGAGATTACCGGGGTTTTGGGGGCTTTGGCTTTCCCCAAATGTTTATAAAAAAGGCAACGTTTTTGCTCATTCTTGCATGGTGCACCTGGACACTGGACAGCAGAGTGGGTGGGAATGTTGCAAAAGGCAAGAAACGCCCTGCCAAGGTGACCACTTTGAGGATTGGCTTGACCAATCCTCTCAGCGGTTAGCGCTGCGCATTTTCGTCACCTTGGTAGGAGAAGCCGAGCTTAGGTTAAGGGTAGCACTAAGTTTCGGATTAGATTCGTTTGATCGAGCCTTACAACCTCGAGTCGACTCTCCGCAAGTGTAGAAATACTCTTGTGCAACTAAAAAGAACATCGAGCTCTTCCTTGAAGCAACGGGTTTCAAGGTTATCGGTATTTTCCCAAACACCAGTTCGATAATAAAAAGCAAAATATGCCAAAAATGCAGATTCTGATTTTCCATATTTGAACACAATTGCACAGAAACAAACAAGCCTTGAAGTGTCAGCTGTGAAAACATATAATGAGAATACGGTTTAGAATGAAGTTGGTTGGTTAAAAATACAATTAACGTCTCTGTGATAAGAAAACTAAATTACTTTCCGAATTGTGTTATGGCGTGAAATAAACATTAGGGTTCATTATGGTAAAAATTAGAAAAACTAAAATCATAAAATTATAAATGTTTCATTTCTATTAACCCCTTGACGTACGATTTAATTTCGAATAATTTGTTAAACCCATACTGTTTAATTTTGTTTAAATTTGTTAGTACAAGGAATGGCCACGAAAAAGAATAGATTTGTTTTATGAATACTTCGTAAATGTAAATATGTGTTGATTTTAATACATAAGACTTGATGACGAATGAGTAGCATTTACGATTGTGAAACTTGACATCAAGAACTTATAACGAGTCAGACTCGTCATTGCATGGTAAGGGGTTAAATTCACTGCGCCGAGGTCCGTACCATAACACCGTTCTAGCGAATAGGTTAATCGTAAAAATGTAAAAGATTAAGAGATCTCTAGCAGAAGCAAGTTTACGAAGCCATTGAAACATTTTTCGCTTTTCAATTCTCTTTCCAAAGTCAACTGCCCTTTTATCATTGAAGTAATTACTGTTTTAACAGAATCAAAGCCCTCCATAACGTTATTAACTATAACTAGCGTTATTCGAAGATGACCACTATCTTGAAGGTTGCCACCTTTTAGAGACCATGAATCACCGAATCAAAACGATACACCCCCATCGTGACACCTCCACAGGCAATTATAAATAAACTAAAATGTCCAAGATAACGACAGATTCAGATTTACGCTTATATTCGACGGTTCACTATTATATTCAATATTCCAAGTAACTTAATCGACTGATTGTGATTAGTGTATACCTTTCGTATCCTAGGAACTATTCATTCGTCATTAAGTTTACATGTGAAGTAATACTTAAAAGATTTCTTTCATCAAATTAAATTTATTTGCTCAACCCCTCAACAAATGGATTGTTCGGAAAGTAACTTCGTTTTTCTTTATTTTTTTTTATTTATTCATGTTTTACGCTGGATTCTCTTCCTTTGGTGTGGTTATATTTTGTGGTAGGTGTACTATTGTTAATGTACATGGCGTAAGGTAAACAGTGTAGGAAATGAAACGTGGGAGGGCGATCTTAAAAATGAAAAAACTTTATACAGTTACTGTTTCGATGTTTAATAAAAACTAATTTGACGGGCAAAAAAGACACTAGAAGAAATTAAAAGGAAAATCGGAAGGTAACTAACTACATGAATTCGACAAGGGATATTCACAAAAATGAAGAAGTTACAAGATTTCATTTAAATAATTAAAGGAAAACTAAATTTCACAACTAAATATATTTATTTTGTAAATTGACAAACGTAAATATTCTAACTTTTAAGATGTAAAGGAAAAAACACAGTTTAAGGATTAATCTCAAGGATTAAATAGATGAAGTTATTAGCCTGTAAAGCTGCGACTGAAAACCAGTTTATTCGTTAATGGAGAATAAAATTTTCCCCACTCTTCTTTTATCGAAAATTTTGTAGTCCTTTATAAATGAACTTCATTGTCACCAACGTTTCTATGATGTAATAAGGATAATTCTGAATAAACCATAAGCGACGAGGCAAGTACCCGATTGTCGAAATTAAAACTAAAATTCCCTAGGTGCTCGGTGGAAGCAGCGTGTTGAACGCGATGCTGTATATTCGCGGCAACAAGGAAGACTACAACAATTGGGAGAGGCTGGGAAATCCAGGATGGGATTACAAGAGCGTGTTACCCTATTTCAAAAAATCCGAGGACATAAGGATCGAGGAATTTCAACGTTCTCCTTACCACCGTACCGGTGGAGATCTGACGATAGAACGTTTTAGGCATCGAGAACCTATAACCGATTATTTGTTGAAAGCAGGCATGGATTTGGGATACAAAGTCCTGGACGTGAACGGACCCACTCAAACAGGATTCACGTACTCGCACGGCACACTGAGGGATGGACTGCGTTGCAGCACTGCAAAAGCTTTCCTTCGAACGGCTTCGAAGAGGAAAAATCTGCACGTCAGCATTCACTCGGTCGCGGAGAAGATTTTGGTGCACGAAGGTGACTTGCAGTTTTGATCGATCGACTATCAAACGAAAATGCCTTCGAGAATGCTTTATTAAATTGGAATATTAATTTTTTTTGCGAGAAATGTTATTTGTCAAGTTGCGACGCATTTTGTAAACAGAATATTTATACATTTCCAGCGCTCGCCACTAGAGGGCTACGCTCAACTTGTCTCTCTCACGAGTGCTCGACCATAGTACTATAAAACCACCCTAAATAATTGTTGACATTTGTAGAAATGGAATATGCCATACTTGAGATTAGCAATCTATGTTTCTTTAGGAATAGTTGAATTATATTTATTCTAAAAAAATGAACTACAGAAAACTGATTGGTTCAAGCATTCGAATGTTGTTTTCTGTCAATATTTCGTCAGTTCTGTTTTGTCTAGTATGTTGGAAGTGTGAAAATATTAATTTGGTTAATAATGCTACGTGGAAGTTATTTAAGTGAGCAAGAAAAAGGCAAAATTTTAATTCTCACAA